TCCATCCTTTAGAAAATAAAATGGCGTCGGTTCCATACTTACAAACAGTCACTTACCCTCCATGCAAAATTCCAGGAAAAAGTCAAAACTTTCAAAAGTCATAACAACAAAATTAAATTTGGGTGAAAAATGCAAAGAAAAGAGTATAAACTCGAAAAATGCATGAAAAAATTTGAAAATAGAAAATTTTGACATAAACATCATAACGTGTTAAGAAATGCATAAAAGAATAAAAAAAAATTTCTCGTGGTGAGACTTGAACCCGTGACCTAAGGATTGTAAGAAAAGACAACATTTTTAAGGGCTACGTAAAAATTACGTACGTAAACGTAAGGCAAAATTTATGAAAAAGTTGATGTGAATAACTTTCCTTCCTGTACTCCAATCGTTCTGATTTTTCGACCACCCATAGATAGCGCACATTTTATAACTGGAGAAGGACAATTGTGTATTTTCCTGATAAGAAAATGCATTTAAAAAAAACATTCTATGATATTTAATTCATCCAATCTCGAACCTAAATCTAGTCCAACCCAAAAACAATAACTTGCAATATTTTGACAATATTTTTTTTTTTTTTGATTAATTACGAATTTCATTAAATGACATTTAAATGAGTTTGACTGGGTGCGCAATATGCTCAAAGTTTAGGATTTCAAACGTTTAAGAAAATAAGAAGACATAAGATATGAATATATCGACTACTTTTACACATACGGAATTGATATTTTGCATGCGTAAATAAAAATTCTAGAATTTTTATTATAAGCAAATGTTTTACGTATGCTTTACTACCTTAAATCAAATCCAGATGTTTAAGACATGAAATCTATTGAACAACAAATACATAAAAATTTACCTAATAATACTGAAAAGTACACGTATTGCGGTTTTCGATCTCTTTTTATTGTATGTTATAGCATATGTTAAGGTAAAGTATCACTTGCAAAAGCTCTAAAATATATTGATACCTTTTATGTATTTTTTGTTGCCTTTTTGCCTTTTACAATATGGAAATGTTTTTATTTGAACACTTTTTTCCTCTCCTTCATAATATCTGCAAAATCATTTCCCGTATATGTGTACACATAACCGTATACATGTGTGTATATTTAGAGAGCAAGCCATAGAAGGAAAATAAAAAGAAAGTGGAATAAATTGAAGGATTTTGATTATCCTTTGAATTCTATTTTAATAAAATGTTTCATTCAAATTCCAAATAGTTTTAAGATATAAAAAACTTATTATATTTAAATCTGATAAAATCCCCTCAAGAGAATAAAGAGATTGACCATAGATACACATTTGTAACAAGGATATCATTTGGGAATTCTTTTTTTTCTTCAGCTATATGTACACAAAATCTATTCTATCAAATGTGGATACTTTCTCATTTCATATCAGTTTTAAAAAAAGAAAAAGGATTTCCATTTCACCTGTGTGTTTCATCTATACTTTAAGTAAAATTGATAACAGAGTTATTGCAAGCAGGTTATGAATATATTGTAGGATGAAAAATCATTAACATTTATTTTCTATGTCTATATTATATACCTACTTGTATAATTTTTAAATCTGCATCGAATCACATTTCTCAAAAAATCGTCATAAAAACAATATTCAATTTCATAATAATTCGCCTTCTTTCGAGAGTTGTCATAAAAATATGCAACAGTCGAATTTTATTATTTTTATTGGCTAACGTTTGCTAGAAACTTTGACTTTTGTCGCCGTATTGCGACTGGCAAGGAGAATCAAAATAGAAGTAGAGGAATGAAAAAAATTGGTGAATATAAAAACGATAAAAGCAATAAAAAAATTTAAATATTAAAAGCTATATTTCAATAAGACGATGAAATGAAAAGAAAAAGAATTCAATAAGTGAATGAAATTTGTTTTGATTGGGGGAGGGTGTGAAAAATGCGACAGCTATGAAAAAGGCAGAGAATGGATTTCGATCTAATTAATTATTCTCTTTATGCGTGCGTATGGCACACTAACATCCTAATGATATTTTTATTTACTATGTACAAATTAAATTACAATAATATTAAATGCTCAATTATGTTTTGAGTTGTATTATGTGTAAACATTTATGTTTACAATTTTGAAATGCTACATAATCCCGTAACAATGTTTTATGATCGTCGGTCGTGCACGTGTCATGCGGATATTGAGCTCTTTTAAAAATATATTTAAGGAAGGGTACTCAATCTCTGTTTTCTCGCTACACGCAGAGATGTAAACGTTGCCGTGATTAAATCTTTTGACAAAGCAATTTTTATCTGGTTTTTAATTTAAAATCATAAAAAATAAAGTAAAATTTCGTAAATTGCATTTTCAACTAGATTTATAAAATAAATTTTGAATCAAGATGTCTCAGAAGTAAGATAAAGATTTTAAAATTAAAACATTCATCATTGTCATTCGAATGTCACTTATTGATTAGTTGTTAAAAATATTCATAATTTGGAAATAGAATCATTGCCGGCACAATTTATGACATTATTTAAGAAAACATAAAAGCTCGAAAAATTTTGAGTATACTCTTTAAAACAAAGTTAAGGCTGATATGCATTTGAACTTCTTACCTAAATGTTTTACATTGTTAAGAATAAAAAAGTTTTTGCTTAAAAAGATTTTCAAAATTTTGTTAATGTACAAAAAGACATTGTACAATTTGCAGGTTAATGCATCTCTGAACTCTTAAATTATATTATTTATTTATTAGAAATATTGGAAATATTAATTTTATCTTAAAAGAATAAATATTATATGATCCAGTTGATATCCATAATAGAGTTGAGCTCCACAGTCCTTATGATAGCAAGTAAGATTAGTGACTATAATCAAAAACATTCAGACTTCAATTAAAAAATACAGAAGCTGGAAAAATCAAATAAATTTACAAATTTAAATTTAAGTACTGAAAATTAATTGCCTTATTTTATGCAGAGCTAATTTTACACTTAAAAACTTTAAAGAAAACCTTATTAAGAAAGTCAATATTTAAATAACTCCCTAAAAATTGTTCAAATTTTATTTTGTTGACTTATTAATTTCTTTGTATTTGGGGTTAGTTCTCCGTAAAATGAAAATATAATTTGATTACCACTAATGAATTCAGAATATTAGGAAATCTAGAATGGTAAAAATACACCAATAAATTAGTACAAAATCTACCCAAAACCTCAGAAAAATGTCCTTGTTTGCCAACACATTACTTAAGAGATATTGCAAACACTTTTCTTTTTCCTTCTAGATTTTCAAGTTAAATTTATAATACATGGTTAAATTGAATTATATAAAGTGATTCAACCATAATATGCTTCTAAAGTTACAAAATAAATAATCGTTACGCTCGCCCAAATAATATTTATTGCATGTTTTAAATCTTTTTGCATAACAATCGTGCTTGCTAAGAATTTAAAGCAATTTATATCTATGAACATTTTACTATGACCATCTTGTTTTGACATTTGCTTTGCTGAAGTTATAAGTAATATCCATTTTTTCATTTTCATTCCAGAATTATGATTTTTTTTTTGCTTGTCTCTTTTCTTAATTGCAATTCAATATTAATAATAGCACCCTCTTATTTCCTTCCATTTTCCAATGCTAGTAAAGGAAAAATAAATGTCGCTTATACATAAATTTAAATTCAATTAGAAAGTACGAAATTAAAAATCGTTTATCATTTCAAACATTCTGATAATAATTTTGTTCAATTCATTTCCATAAGTAAGATTTAAAAAAGTCTTTGTATAAGTGAATAAGGACAGAGGAAAAATGACCGAAAATTCGATAGGAGCCAAATTGATATTGGCGAAAAACAATTTAACTGCAATTTTAATTAGCATAAATCTTTAATTATTATTGAAATATATATGACAAATCATCTTTTCAATTTAGATTGAGAGTGATGTTTTTTAAAATATATAAACCATGTTTTTCAAATTATTCCTTTACTCTATTAAGAATTATTTACCTAGCGACGAATATTTCAAAAAAAAATCTTGGCAGCGCCATCTTTTGAAAAATTTGACTTTCATAATTTTTAATCTTCGAGATCAGTTCAATAAATTTGAATTTTTAAAGACCGTTGATATGATCTTAAATTTTAAAATGTATTTTTGCACATTCTAATCCGTTAGTGTGATTCATTTCATCATTACTTTTCAAATTTTTAATTGAACGAAAATCACTTTCTGTCAAGTCTGATTGCAAAAATGCATGTGAAAGAGAGACTTTTCCAAAGTCATAGAATCATATCTGAAAGAATATCATGTTGTTATATACGAAGAGAAATTTTTTCTTATGGTAATTTGATACTCAAGGATGAACCCGTGAAACTTGATACATCATTGAATATTTCGTTTATTGTATAGCAGTTAAGGCAACCAAATCATACTTTATAGCGTATTTTTTGAGCTTTAGGAAAAGAATCGTGTTTCCGATTTGTTTTGTCCACATGACAATAAACAAGGATTTCAAAATAAGTCGTTTAAAAATTACGTCCACAAAATTCGAATTTTCCTCCTATTTTTCAAAAAAATAAAATTCAAAATTCAGAGTTTTCCAACGATAAGGATCAAATAATCTATATCAGTATGAGGAATTTCTCTATGTCTTCTATTCCGATCAAGTTCATAATGAGATAAGTCAATTAAAATCACAATGATCAAGCGGAGATCCGATTACACTTTTATTGCTGACATTGACATGCAAAGTTTTTCTTCTGTTTTAATTTCGAAAAGGATCGACGAATCGAACTTAAGATGCGCGGATTACTCACCTTTGCATTGCAACTTATTTATTTATACTACAATATAATACAGCAGCGTGATGAGAAGTAAAAATATACGATCGTATTATGTATTTGCTACCACTTCGTGTACCAATACGAATGTCGCACGAAAAATCCTCTCACTCTCTCTTAATTCAATAGGGGGTTTGAAAATTATATACAAACAATTAGTCTTCATGGTGGAATCAGTGATTAAACATCGAAAAATGATGAGAGCAGATTTATTTTGATCAGTTGATTAAAGAAAAAAAGAAAATGTGAATAAAGCAATTGTGCTCGAAGTGAAGTGAAGATATTAAAGGAAATATTGTGATTTCTTAAAACTTATGAGATTAGATTTAAATGAAAATAAGGTGAAAATAATACACATTAATAATTTTTTATGAGAAATACAATAAATTATGAAGCAAATTGTCGTTAAGAAATTCAAAACTGAACCTACATGATATTTATTTTCTATTAATAAAAGCAACATTTAAAAACAAAAATATGGGATATTAAATGAGAGCGACTATAATATATAAATTCCACGTATACTTGTATCATTCGTGCGAATGAAGATTGAGTATATTATCATTTTAATTATAGATGAAGATACTTTGTGTGAAAAAATATGTCTGAATAAGCTGATTGCATAAAAAAAAAACAAAAAAGAAGATATAAACTATAGAAAAATAAAACTATTTTCAATTATCGGTGGTGTCTCAAAAGAGACACATTGACGTTGAGATATAAATCGTTGTGAATTATAAATTTTGAATAACTATATTTTTCTTGATTAGATAAGAATCGTGAAATAATGGCTGCAAAAATAGTGAAAAAGGAAGTAATGAACGATGAAATTAAGGTAATTTGAATTAATGAATATTAAAAAAAAATGTTGTGTATTAAATAGAGTGCAAATAAGTGTTTGTTGCGCATTGAAATCGATATTTTTTAGAAATCTGATATCGTTGCTATTAAATTCCATGCAACTCATGCAGTAAATTTTTGTTTTAATATATTTTGTTGGATAGTATTTCAATCTCTTTGTGCACATTAATTATTCTCATATTGCAATGACATTATTGACTCACTCTCTATACCTGCTCTTCTCTCAGTCTTATTTCATGAAACTCAAAATTTTATGGTTTTATGTGTTCTCATATTACAAAGGTGTAAAAAGAAGTCAATTTATAACACTATCAACTTCATATTGTTTTCAATTTTTTCGTCTCAAGGTTTGAGAATTTACATCCAGCATGATGATATAAATAAATCTAAAGAATTTAATAGCTTTCGATATCATTTTAAATCTTTCATAACATTTGTCGACGTGAGAATATGATGAGCAAAAAAAAATCTTTTATGATTTTCTCTGGTCTCTTCAACTAAGCGACACTCTGTGAAAAAGAAAAGATTTTGTTTTTCACTTTTTTCCTCTCATCAATTGTCGAGCACAAAAAATTTATGATGTTTTCATTTATATATTTCAAGAGCCATTAAGATCTGTGAAATATTGTTAATACAGGATTGTATGATGATCGAACGAAAAATTTTATCAGGTTCATCAACACACAATTTAAATTTTTTCCTTCATCACATTTGCTTTTATAATATACTTTTAATGTATGATATTGGCTAAATTTAAACCCAGTACGCGTGCCTATCATATATTTAATTTTCATGATTCTGTGTGATATTTCTAACGCATTTTCAGAAAATAAAGACGTTAATGTGACAATAAATTGTCTCTCTGTCCTTGTTTTTTTTTTTATGTGTCACTAAGACTATAAAGAAAGAATCATTATGAATATCGCAGAAGAACCGTTTATATTAGCTGCGCTTTACATAACTTTCTGCATGTTTGGACATAGTTCAGCGATTTTATATTTTTTATTTGGAAAAGGTATGCCAATGCAATGACCCATTTTTCTATGACAGCTGATGATATTAAATATTCATCTCCTACATTCTTCAAGTCAAGATATTTTTCTTCTTCAAGAGACATTTAAAGACTTGATGTTTTTCATTCTAGACACCCCAATGCGATACACAGTCAAAGCATTGCTCTGTGCCAATTTAACTATCATCCTTATCATAATATAGACTTTTAGATGCACAACTGCTGGCTTTGTGTTATCCATCAAAACATTATGGCCCTGAATATTTGAATCAATTTATTAAGTAAGATATAATACTATCAAAAATCAGTTACCTAATATGTGATCAAAGACAATGTTCTGAATAAATATATAAATTATTGTATAATAATAAAATCAATCATCATAATGAGCCAAATATAGTTCATATTGTCTTTGTTTATATTTAATTATATGGACTATAAATCTTATAACATTAGATATCAGATTCGTTAAAAATTAAAGAGTTAATTCGAGTTAATTAAAAGACTAGTTGCAAAATCGTAAATAAGCAGAAAAACATATGCAATGTATTTTGTTTCACACGCGACATCGCGGTATCTAATTTCCTGACATTTTTTTGTTTGAGTCATAAAAAGTTATTTTTCCCATTAAAAATTCTCTCATTAATTTTTTTTTTCCTTTAAAAATGTATGTATTCACATTTATATATGTATATATAAGCTTGTTTCTCGCATGTTTAATGAAAAAAAACGGATAAGGTTTCAAAAATCTTAAATTTCATTGAAAGTAAAAAATATCTTACATTGTCAGTATAACTACGTTAAGAGGCCCAGACAAATGGCAAAATAAGAGAATCATATATGAGAATCCATTTAAATCATACACGTTTTTTCGAAGTAAAAGCAGCAGTAAAACAAGATATCGTATTGGCGAAGGAAAAAGTTTAATATTTTTTTTTCTTCTCTTAACTCTGTGAGAATAATATTCAATTTCAAAAAGTTATCACGTTTCAATCGATATTTCTTGCTCGTAGTGTAAACAAGGCTCTTTGTATGAGATCATTTAGATTCTTAAGCATCAAATAAATGAGATTTCATGAGTGTTCATACAAAGTAAAGGACACGTCTTTTCATTTTCAGAAAATAATTATATCGAATTATAATATGAGACCATAGTGAAATTTAAGTCATTATTTCAAATTATTTCCATTAATTCAAATGAGTTCTGTACAAACATTTACATCATTAATTTTTTGTTTGTTTAAAATTTGAGAGCAAAGTTGATGAATCATTATTCGAATCGAATAAACCTTTATGTGTCCTTTTAAGGAATGTATAGATATGATGAAAATTACATCTTTTCTTTTTGATGAGAAATAATTTCAGAAAAAGTCTTGAGAAATTAGTTGAGTATATTTAATATTTCGATCAGTTCTGTTATTCAAATGTTCCAAGCCATGTGAGTTTAACAATCCTTTTTAAATAGCGATGTTTAATTATTGCATTTCGTAATCATATTTTTATACCCAATCAATGTCAATATTCATTAAATTCATTTCTATATGTATTATGAGTGTGTTTTTAAGATTTAATAGTCAAATCAGACCATTAATTAATAAAACTCTGAGACGTGTAATACTATACTTTTCTGATTTTCTCATACATGTATACAGATATAGAGAGAGCTCGTGTAGTAACTGTGTGTACACATGCAACATGAAAGAGCTTTGAAAAGTTGATATCTATGAAATATCGCATTTCAGAGTTGTTTTAGAGACTCTAAAAAACGTTATAAAATATTCTTGAATTTCACAGATAATTAAATAAAGCATAGATCAAATTTCCCATTTTGCCAATCATTGCTTTTTGCTTCTCAAATACATGTTCTCGTTCACAATTCTGCTTAATATTTTCAGTTCAATTTTCATTTATTAAATGAATCCAAATGAATGTTTAACTAATGATGTCTTTGAATTTTAGGAATTTGGAGAAGATGCGGCAACGGCAATAAATGAATTATTAGGGCTATATGGATACAATGATGAAAACAAACGAAATGAATTAGGTGTCAAATTTCACAGAAATGCTTGCAAAAAAATTTCAAATCTTACTCAAAGTCATAACGATTCAAATCTTCACTCAAGGTCCACTGAGAATGAACTATTACGTACAGAAAAATTTCACGACTACTCATCTATATCCTCTGATAAAGACAGTTCATCACGAGAGAATTCAAAAAGTCCCATGATAAAAAAGGTTCCAGATAAACAAGGTAACTAAAGATTATATTTGCATATTTGATCTAAAATTTGGCTTTATGTAATATGTTCAGGACTTTGCATTCGAATCAGGAAAGGTTTTATATCAGTGTTATCCAAACTGTGTGCCGCGGCACACTGGTGTACCGTATAAAATTTTTGTAATGACGCAATCCGCATGTTCTGTGCGACTTTGATCATGGCTTACCCCTAAAGTGTGCCGTGGCTTAAAAACTTTGGACAACACTGCACAACTTTCAATATTTTTACTAACAAGATTTAATAATTATTGTTAGACACAACAAAATTTGTAAAAGCATTTGATCTTGACATGGATCTCTTTTAAATTTATTCTACTCTTATTTTCTGGGGTTTTTATGATGAATGATTCTTGTTTGAAAGTCTGACGGATTGCATTATCTTAAAAGCAATCTTTTTAAAATCCATTCCATTTTCCATTTTCTAAAGATATCCATGAATTCATATCAGAAATTGCATTAATGTGAATTAAGGTTCCATGACAACTTGTATGAATGTCGAACCCTTTTCAGAACTGTATTATATCAGTTTAATATTATCGTGGTATGAATATGAATATATTTGTACACATTTTGCTAGCTAACGATTGGAAAAAATGCTGTTCTAGAATTTCAAAATGCAGTTTCAATTTCATTCCACTTCATCATGTGATCATAATTATGATTTTCTTAATTTGTCGTATATCATTTTTCGCTAGTACTTGTTTTATTTGCATACATACTTTATCGTCATATTCGCTTATTCTATACATATTTCTCTATTCAATTTCATTATAATATAAAAAAGAGAGAGAGACAGAGAGAAAGAGACGAGCGTAAAATATCTCATTTGATGAATTTGATATTTTTCAGGATCATCATTAGACACTTGAAGCGACTGTAGCTCATTTTACATAATTTCATTTTAATTAAAATCCGAGCAGTTGCCAATCGCTAGGCAAAATAGAAAAGAATACAGCAATATCGAAAAAGTAGAAGCAAAGTTTATTTGTTTATTTTTTGAGATTTTATCTAACGATGTCATTTTAATGTGCCCATATTAAGTGATGATAAACGCCGTTTCCTTGGAAAAGTTCTATTCGCGTTTTTTATCAGCAAAAATATATTGAATTTCATTTCTGACATTTGACGCTTAAGTCCCATTGATTTGCATTGAAATCTGATACTTTCTGTATAGGTTACTTTTTGTATTTTTAACTTTCTTAATTTTTGCTCTTCGTTTTCTCTTTAATTCTGCTTTTTGGAAATGAAAATGTTTAAAAAAAATTCGTGTTTCCAGTGATTGTTAAATTATAAAATATTCTCCTCTTTTTTTCTAGAAAATAATTGCTCATGGTGTCATCACGATATAAATGCACAATCGAACGAAATAATTGGATCACCAGATACAGTTTTTTGTTCTGAAAATTGCTTCATATTTTGGAGACGAGCATCATTCAAGCGTGCAAAAACATGCGATTTTTGCAAAAATGTTCGCAATGCTGTAAGTTATGTTGATTTCAACGATGGAACTACACAATTACAATTTTGCAGCGATAAATGCTTGAATCAGTACAAAATGCAGATTTTTTGTCGTGAAACACAAGCTCATTTGGAACTTAATCCTCATCTCAAGGATAAAAATGAATCTGGTGGTAAGGCGAGATTATTGAGATTAGAGTATAAGTTGCATATAAATAAGAAAAAAAAGAGAGCTTATAAAGTAGATACGTGTGTTTATATATATACATCCCAAATCATGCCGTACACATTTCCCATAGCGTGATTTCACTTAATTTAACTTTACATTACACTTTGATAAGCATAATGATGCAATAAATAAATCACTTGATAATGTTAGAAAGTTAATTGAAAGGAAATGTTTGAGTGGAAAAAAAACAAAGGCAAAAAGTCACAATGAGCACATTATTTATATGCGACAATATCTTAATAAATATATCACATAATGAATTTGACGTAATTAGTCTTATGTATACTTATGTTTTCTTGTTTCCTTTTAGAGGGCCTAATTACTCCCGACTTATGGTTGAAAAATTGCAGAACAAGGTCTCCCACTCCGGATGATTATGAACGTTCAAAAAGTTCCTCGCCAATGACAATAGCGGAAGAGAAGTTAGTATTTTCAAAAATAATTGACACAAAACAAACTTTACCCTCATCATCATCAAAAATTACATCAACCGTCTCTAATTTGGCGCACAATGATAATGCAATTGATGCTGGAAAGAAGCCCATAATAAATGTTTTACCATCGTCCAAACTACTTTCACGAAATATGCTTCACAGTAGGAATTTACGAAAACGTCGAATTTCAACAAGATTGGCAATAAGCAATAAGGCAAATCAGAATTCAAACGATAACAATACAGGTACCGAGAGTATCATGAATACAAATTTTCCAGCTGATTTGCGTGCAAAAATTCACAGTCAAATGAACAACAACCCGAAGTCAATTCAGTCGACTAGCTTCAATCGCCCACCTTTACAACAATTTATGCAACGACCGCCAATAAATTTATTCAAATATCGTTTCCCCTTTCCAATGCCATCTCAACGAATTCCATTACCACCGCAAAATCAACAACCACTACCGGAAGATTCAAACATAAATCCATTACCACCTATAAATTCAGTACTACCACCACCGGTTATTTTGGTTCCCTATCCAATTCCACTGCCTATTATTATACCCATACCACTACCATTAACGGCATTCATGAGGGCATATCAGAAGAAAGAAACTGAATTACCAACGAATAAGAATGATAATGAATCTCATGAGGAAGTAATGCATGAAAAGATGAATGAAAATGAAAAGCCTCTTGACTTATCTTCCGAACAGAGCGTACATGAGAGTGATAAGATTTATCTAACCCAATATGATGATGACTGTGACGACGACACAGATGATACAAATATTATTGTAGATAGTAATTATTTAATAGAAAAAAATACAATTGATAATAAGGAATCCAAATATGAGAATACCGAAGTGAACATCAAGAAAACTCTATCAAAGGATATACATGAACGAAATCGTCCATTAAGAAAACGAAAAATTATTTCAACTGAAGATGATGACAATCATTAAACAAGACTTCAAAAAAGCAAATTGATTTACAATTTGAGAAAATGTTCAAACCGTTGGGACACACTGTAGATAACTATCACGTTCGTTATATCTAATATATTGCCAAAACTAATCTTTGGATTTTTGATAAAACTTTTAGCGCATTTTTCTGAAGTATAATTTTTTAAAATATTACATTCTTTAAAACGTGTGCTCATTCATTCGTACTTTTGCCACGAGTCATGGCATTAAAGATATTAAAGTTGAACTCATAATAGATAAAATATAAATAATTTTTTGATTTTCTAACTTCTTGAAATTGAATTATAATATAATATATCCATCCAAATATTTATGTACTCACCATTCAATGCAAAATTGTTTGTTTCCTAGTATTGTTAGAAATATTTCATAGCTTATTAAATTTTAAGCAGTACACAATTTACTCATTTAGTTTGTAGATTATTTTTAATTATACTTTGTTTCCAATAATATGAAGGTTCACAATAAAGATTATGTCTAACATGTTGTTGAAATCTAATTTGTGTAAGTGTGGACATAACATAATTAAATTTGTGTAGGGTTCGAAGCTTTCAATTAAAAAATTTATAACTTTAAGAACACCAGGTCAATAGCTAAAGATGATATTTATGACAAGAATCATTTTCTGAATCAATTTTGGACAAACAAACTCAAATTTTTGATTAATTTAAAAAAAAACTTGTGAACTTCTTGGTACGAAAGCAATTTGGATCTTATTTTAAAAACAATGTCTAAAAGACACTTGAATTTATTTATAATGTATTTAAATCAAAATGCTCATTTCTTTAGTACTTGAAAAATAGCAGAAATTTTACCTTTTACCTGCATACCTTTGCTTATTATTAGAATAAAAAAAAGGATAAAATAAATTTTGAACTCATGATTCTAAAGGTATTTTTATAGTTGGATTAATACATCTTTGAGATCTTATTTATTATTAGGTTGTTATCAAATTATTTTGTTAATCTTTTTTGATTCTTGTTTATTGAAACACAGAAAACTAGAAATGCGATGATGAATCAGTATTTATATTTGTTCTCATATGTTGATTTGACAGTTTATGGCATAAATATAAACATTTTGAATAAAGTTATTTCTATGTAGGCGTTCATAAATGACGAATATCTAATTTTTTTGAGGACATATATAAATATTGTGATAAATAATAAAGATCTAGGTGGTTTTGAATAGTAATGAAAACAGCGAAATTAGAGATTAGTATTTGGATGATGTGGGACAGTGAGATATAATTTGTTAATTCAGGATAAAATGGTATTATTTAAAGAAAAGATAAAAATTATTTTCTCGGAAAAATAGCATAGTATCACATTAATAAAAATAATAATAATAATAATGAATGAATGAATGGAATAATGGTGTATTGTGAATTTATAGTCTCTAGTATTTCTAGTACAGAACATGATTGTGAATAAAATTCTAGATATTTAGATGTTAAACTTCTGTGAAATTTGTTTAACTCAGAAAAGCTTGACGCAAATGTTTATCTACTATTTATCTACGACCGTTTTGGGTTTTTAAACATCAACAGACATAATAAGTCGTGGTTATATCTGAAAATGATATGAAACTCTTTCTATTAGTTTTTTCTGAATCTTTTATGCCAACACTATTCGGATTTTGTGTTCCTTTATATATGCTTGGTTCCATCGTCACAACAAATTGATTAAATGTTTAATGAGGCGTAAACTTGTAAAAATATACAGAGACGAAATAAATATCATGGTAAATATAGTTCTATGTAGAATGTACAACAAAAGCCAGTTTATCGAAGCACTGTGAAAGTAAAGGATGTTTTCAAGGAAAAAGGAACTTTTGAAAGGCAATGTACCATTCTTGCCTTTCATTATTTTTATAAACGCCTTCGGATTTCATCTGGAAAAAGGGAAAAGCAAAATTTTCGGTCTAATACATTCCGTATCTCTTCTAATCGCTATATTAACGTCGGGATTTTTCATTTACATGAACATTGATTATACGAAAGATAAAATCATTTCTTCAATTTATTGTATAAATTGCAGCTGCATATACATCACAACTATAATGGTTTCCTTTTATAATGTATTTATGAAAACCAGGAAGAACTTTTGGGATCTAATGGAGCATCTACATCACATTGATATTTTATTAAAAGCGTTTCATTACAAAAACGATTCAAAAAGCTATTCAGGCTATTCTGTTCAAATATTAATCTTGGTTCTCTTTATTAGCATATCTCCTTTGCTTTTGATACTTAATTTTCTAAACAAGAATTTCAATATGGGTCAATGCGTTTATTTGATGCTGGTACTTATTCTTAGTGTTGAAATAATCATCTACACAATGCTGGTTGGTAACATCAAAGCTCGTTTCATGCTTTTAAAGGCATATTTAGGAGACAAAAAGTCAGAGAGTTTAGTAATTGACATAAGAGGTTTGTTTTCATCTCCGATTCTACCATGCTTTAGAGAAATATCAATGATTTACGATGAAATGCTGGAAGTAATTTCTGTATTGAACGAGTCATTTTCCGTTTTATTGAGTTTTACATTAAGTAAGTACTTGAATGTGATTTTGAACATTTCAACAAATCAAATATTGAGAAAATTGAACTTAATGTTTCTAAAATTGCCACTGACTTATTTATTTTGGTACCATTAAAAATCATTTTTCAGAGTATTTAATTGCCTTACAAAGTTTAACAAACTTCCAAGAAATATTTACATAAATTTCAAGTCCAATATGTTTACATAGCTTTTCTTCAAAATTTTCTGTTTTCATTGTGTACATTCTTACGTATATTTAAAAAGAGCTTGATAAGAAGCAACGTTCCATTAAAAATATCTGAGCTGATATAATTCTGAATTTTGATTTCTTATGTAAGCTTTACAACACGTTATAATTTACAACATGTTTCAATCACTTCCATTTTACAAAGCCCCACAAGAAGTTGAAATATCAAAAATATAAAATTTATTTTGTTTTCAGCATATTTTTGTATCTAATTGGGCTTTATTGTAAAATATGTTTCTTCTTTTATTTCAGCTTCATTTTTCTTAAACATTACTTTAAACACATTTTGCGCCTTCTTTATGGTGGCCATAAAAAGTTTTACAATTTTCCAGTTGATTGAAATTGCGCTATGGCTATTGTTGTCATCATTGGCAATTTTCCTTTTATGTCATTCAACAGAAACTTCTTACAAAGTCATAAACGATTGTTCGCTGCTTCTTTGTGAGTGCTGTCATTATAACATCCTAGATGTTTATCAAAAAGTCGAGGTAAATTTGATAAGCCTTTCACATAAGAAAGTAAATCATATTTGATGTCTTGCTTTTTTTTATCTTTTTATATATGAATCAACACCTTCATAACAATCAAGATTGAGACTATTGTCATCAAAATTCTCGTTCAAAAACACTCGTTTGCATTTACGTGTGGATATTTTGATATTAATATGAATTTGCTGCATTCAGTCGTTTATACAACCTTAACATACTTAGTAATCTTGCTTCAATTCAATTTTGAATAATGACTTTAGTCTAATACTGTATGATAGAAATATATTCGAATATATGCATGAATACAAACTCAAGGGATTTGTGCTGTTGAAAATCTGTAATAAATAGATTCAATTTTGATGCTTTGATGCTTTCTTTTGTTCTTTCAATTTCTAACTCTTTATTCAAGTTTGATAATATTTAATTATGTTATTTTTTTTTATAATCGTAACAATTGCTTTAACAAAGAAAATTAAAAAAAGAAGATATTAGAAATCCTGTATTTGTCGCTTGTTTGTCAATCGTTGTATTCTTCACAAAAGTAATTTTCGTATATTCATGTAACGTGGTAATGGTTTTTTACATAAAAATTATTATTAAAAAAAGACATTAGTAACAAAAAATGTTTCTAAATGAGCAGTCTTATTTACAGTTAGAATAAAAAGAACTTAGTTAATAAAAATAAAAGTATGAAAAGAGAAAGGAAACAGACAGTATCATTATGAAGCTATTCAATACAGCAATTTCATTTTTACACTACATACACTTTTATAGTCATCTAAATCGACTAAAAGATTTCAGAATTTTCTCCGCTGTACAATGATGATAGATTAACAGGAAGGTGGTACAGGGTATTGTGATAGTGGGTAAGAAAATAGAAATAGTACCGCTAGTGTATTTTGCAGCAGGATGCTCGCCTTTAAAGAAATTTATCACGACATTAAAATCGATATGTCATGATTTTCAAAGGTATTCATTTATTGGTGTTTAGAAACTTACCATTGAGTACGTGAACTAGACTAGATGCTGGAATTGCTCCATGAGGAACACAAGTGTAATTGCCACTATCTCGAAACTGAGCTCTTGTCAGCAAGAGTCGACTCGTTGTGCCATCAGCAGTTTTTTCTGTTTCTAAATTTATACCTCCCCTGTTTGAGTTAAATTCTATAGCATGGGAGTTGTGGTACCTTTGAAAAGAAAATAATATTTACGAATTACATTACAATTTTCTTTAATGCATACTACATACATACCATTGAATAGATGGAACCTGATGATTGACCATGCACGTTAAAGAAATTGTGCTACCAATCTTCACATGAATTTCTGATGATCCTAGAATTCTAGCAAATTTCACTGAATGCAGAAAAAAAAATGTATTATAATCATTCCTTTCCAAGATAATTACTTTTGTATAATCACTTTACCTTTTCCATCAAAACTGTTTGCAGATGCAATCATTCTCTCTTGTAGTATTTCAGGAACTGGAAGAGGTTGAAAGATTTTGGTTTCACAAATTATTTCTGCAAATAAAATCTATGCGGGGAAAAGGCAAACTCAATGAAAGCACTTTAATACGTGCTTTAAACTTTTGCCCTTAACTAATTATAAAACTGAAAATATTTACCTGTTACTTCTAAATGAACTGATGTTTTTATCTTCGGTTGAGTATTCAATTGGCCTTAAAATATTGAATATTAAATAAATGTAAATTTATTTTATATTAGACAGTGATTAAAATGCGTTAGTAATACAAATCAACTAGTTAATTCATTTAAATCTCAAATTCTTCTTTCATTTACTTACATTCATAATGCCCAGAGTCATTAAGAGTTACATGATCAATTTTTAAGTTCCACTCATTTGAGCTTTCTTCGTGTAAAACAGTAAAGCGTTGATCACCAGAAAATACAAAATTTTCTGATGTCAAAATGTGCAGGTCAGATTTTCGTATCCATGAAATCTGAAAGAAAAATTTGGTTATTGTCCTTTAAAAGAATTTCAAGGTTTAGTCAAAGTAAGTATGACTAGGTATTTAAATTTAATCAAAATGTAATGTAAATATTTATTTTCCATCCTTCCAAAAAAAACTCATTTTCTCATGCCTTTAAATCATTATTTTCATATTTTCGCGTCAAAATAAAAAAAATCTTTGTAACCATTTTACACAGATGAAAACCTATAAATCCCCTAAACATTTTCATTCAATTCAAAGTTATAAATTTTAATGTCATTGTAGAGTACTTCTTTATTTGAGCTTTTCGAGTCTTTTTTTTCGGTTGCCGCAAAACCAGCGAAGCATGAATAAAAGAAGGAATGAAAATGAAAATAAAAATGTACAAAATCTGAGTTAGAAGAGGCTTCTTTTAAATTTCACATTCTCCATAACAGAATGATTTATGATTTATTATTTCTTTTCTTCGACCATATAAATGTGATAAAAATGTTTTATAATGTAGATATATATTCTCGTGTATGAACATTCCGTAGAAAGAAACATTTCACTATATATGATATTTTGTCGAGGGGATGTAGAATGTTCATTCCTTTGTGTTGTATATTGTATCGCTATATGATTTGATTTTTCACACAGTAAAAGAGTGATTCTATACTTTTGAACTGGATCAGTATATTTGCTAAATTACTTGGAAAATTTAATATGCTTGTCATTCCTAGATTTCTCTATAATTTCTTATATATTGGAAGTCTTTCTTTCATTATGACATATTTCATTAATGTTTCTATTGACATTTGTTGATTTTTCAACATTTCCAGCAATCGTCACATCGTTTTAGAAAAGCTAGTCATTAAATCTCTATTATAAGAATGAACATTACTTACTGTTTTATTTCCTTTGAACCTTACAGCACATTTTAATATGATAGATTCGTTCTCTAATACAGTTACGTTTAGATTTTGATTATTCTCGAAAAATGGCTCTTTTTGTAGAGTAGAAAATATTTCTGGAAAAGATATGCATGTAGAATAATTAGAAACAAATTTTAATTCACATAAAAATAATGTATAGAGTATTTAATAAATACAATTATAAATTTTCAGAGAAATTTAATTATTCTTCTGCATACATTCAAAACATTCTGCATTTCCTTTGAATGAAATCCATAACTTCATTTTCAGTTTTCAAATGGCTAAATTACATCCTAATGCGCCATTAGGCATTGTTATTTTTAATTGGAATGCCCAAAATTAATGTTGTTTAACAACAAAGTAATTAATGTGTTATTAGCAACATTCATTTGAAATCATTATTACCAAAGTTTGCAAAGAAAATTATTTCGATGTTTTCCTTCAAATTGATAAATATAGCTTGCTCAAATAAATACCACAAGCCAAGTGAATATGTGATTTAGTCGAATACAATTTTTTAATATTAAATTTGGAACAGTTTCTTAAGAACGATGAAAAAATGCTTTTACTAAATGTAGCATAAGTGAATTTTTTGCAGTAGTTTTTCGATTCTTGCCAAACAAAAATTTCTTAACGAGTTTCCAAGTATTTGTCTTGGTCAGGCTGACCATGAAAATTGAGTTTAAAGACCATACAAGCGAGCGTTTTATTAAATTACTACTTCACATAAAGATTCTAAGAATTGTACGACAGATTTTAGAACAACGTGACTTTTCGCTTTTGTGCATCGTTCATCAATTGATGTATTAAAAACTAGATATCCTTTCATCACCAGCAAAATAATTTGGTTATTTTTATGCTAAACACATACTATGGGTACTCGATTGAACAGGATGTTTCTGGAACAAAGCACCTACTCAAATCGAACACCCCCCCCCCCCCCCCCCCAGTATTCTTTTTAATTGACCAAGATAAACTTTTAAAAAAATCTGTGATTAAAATTAGATTAGTACAATTTTGAATGATTTTTCGAGAATGGAAAAGTTTCCCTTTGGATTAACTTGATTGAACGCAATTCACGGAGAATCATCAAAAAACCTATCAAAATAATGAAGAGAAATAAAATTCGAAATTACAAAAAAAAATCTGATCAGAATTTGCATTTTTATTGAGTTCAAGGTAGGAGGGTATGTTTTAATCAATAAATATTGATTAGAGAATTTTATTCATTCATAAAATCGCGTTTTAGTATTTTAAATTGTCTACATCACTCAAGATTTTTTAAGAGGATGGTGAGCAATTCAGTTGCTTATGTTGAGAGAAAGATGATTTAATTTTATGTAGAAAAAAAGAGAAAATAACAAATAGAACCGAGTTACCCTATTACCGCCTTAAGTAACTTAATTTCATTTCAGATGAATCTACGTTCATAGACGTAAATTATTGAAGAAAAATGATGATAACAAAAATACTTTTTTACAGAAAAAGAGCATTGTAAAGCACTAAATGTGAAGAAAGGAAAGAGAAAAGCCATTTACAAATCTTTTATTTGCCAGCAACATGAGAACGAAAAGAATAAAAAAAAAAGAGGGAAAAATGAACATTATTCTAATTTGTTTACGAGGCCTATGATAAGACTTACATAAACAATCATAACCTAAACAAGAATTGCTTGCAACAAAACCATTATTTTAAAGTATTTCGGAAATGTAAGATTATTTTTTTTGCTCTGTAAAAACTTTGTAAAATGAGCAAAAAAGCAAAAGTATAAAATGGATCTAAACTCAGATTATAATAGAATTTTCGTGCTTTGAAATATCGACGATATCGAACGATACTTTTTTAATAGCTTGTATTTGTTCAAAAGCCTCTTAGTTTCCTTAGAAATCGTTTTCCTTCAAAGATTCCCATTTTAAATATGAATTGTGGCCCAGAATATTGATCGAGAAATAAAATTAATTTTCTACCTAAGATTTTCTCTTAATGTTGATAAGGATCTGACCATAGAAGTTACATTTCGCAGTTATATGTTTAACATGTGTACGTGATGAAAATTTTAATCATAAATTTTTTGAAAAAAAAAAGTTTAAGAACGAGGAAAATGTTCATATGTCTGTATACATATACATATTCCTTAAAAAAAATACAGTTGAAAATTAAGCCGTCGTCGACCTTCACATATATTTTGATTAAATCAGTGCGAACAAGGAAATGTAGTATCAACAGAAAGGGAAAAAAAATTTTCATATTCTTCGCTCATAATTTTTTAAGATTTACACATAATATTGCACATAAAAAATTGAAGGTATGAGAAGGTGGAATATATGAATATGAATAATATTGTTACAAAATGAAATATGAGTTTTTCTCATTCAGCACGCAATGCTACAAAACGGCATCTCCTATGAATCTTGAAAAATGAACAATTATGTTGAAAGAGCCTTTCACTTTGTTTTCGGTCGGTATAATCTTGGCATTTCTCATTTTTTATTGGTATTCTCTTTTCTTCCTTCCGCCTTTTTTGTTGCTCAATTTCCCATCTACTTCGCAGCAGGTATATGTAGTTTTCTCACTTTTCCTTTATAGCACCCTCTCGATTCTCACACTTGTGATTAAATTCTGCTGAGATGAGTTTCTTACCTACACAAAAATACCAATGAATCTATATCATTGTTATTGATCGAATTTGTATTATACAATACAATGAAATGATTAGATATACGATTTATTCAAGCATTTTATCTTCATATATCAAAAGAAAAGGCGCTTTGTCTACATGAATGTTTGCTTTCAACAGTTACTAACTTCAAAGAGATGAAATATTCTTAAATTTCTAACATTATGATTTTTGAAAAAATTTGCGAATTTTCGCATGCCAATTTTTGTTCTTTCATCTCTTGTCTCGATACTTCATGCTGAATATAAAGCGAAAGTACCTTTCAGAAATACTTATCATTCCGTTTCCTCTTCTTGCTTTTAAATGAAAACGCTTTTACCCTCTCGTTTTGTTTGTTGTGTTTGCATACGTTTAAAGATTACCTTTAATTAGAATTTGCGTACTTATTGTAAATTGTATGTTGCTATTAAGCACTGCTTGATGTCTTTCTTTATTGCTAATGACTATTTTGCACATGTTTTTTAGAACAAATATGATATTATTAAAACTTAATGTATATATTTTGATAACCTTGACAAGCCTTTTATAATATTAAGGTGAAAAACATTTTTGCAATTAACTATACAAAGCTACAGTGATTTCAGTCACTCATTATATTGATTTTTTTATCGAGGAACCCAGTTATTTTGTATTCGATAATTGTCTCACTATAGGTATTAAAAAGTTTGGGTAGCAAGAAGTAATGACGTCAGTTCCATATTCGCAGATTAGCACTTTAGTTTCTAGGTGTTGTGTATGTGTTTATAAGGTATTCATTTCTACACTCGCGTTTGTAAAATCAAGTTCTTTATGAATTATTAATTAAAACCGAAAAGCCTTTGATCTGGGTGATAATCTAGCGGAGTCTAAAAGTGAGTTGAGGTATTTGATTATATAAAACAACATTAGCACGGCTTTAAAAGGAAAGTGACAAATTCCACAGTATACTGTTATTAAAATTTTTATACAACCATCTTAATAACTGACTCCTACTCATAGGTGCTGCATTTTAAAATCTTTCTTCTCATAAAACAATGTCTTGAAATGCTTCTTATGCTCACAAAGAGAAAAAATATTCTGACCACAATTTCATGAATAAATGAGGTTGGTTAACAAATGAACAGAAGACAGATTGCAAAATACAATAAAGATATTAAAGATCTAAATCAATCTAGAAACAAAAAAAAATTAAACATTTTCTTTTCATCGAGAAACAAAGAATAGAAAAGAGCAAAGTTTTATCAGTATTTTAAACACCAATCGATACCTTTTTAAGCATCCATAAAATATCTTTCTTTTTTCTTGTCGAAAAAAAGGATTAAAACAAAAGTAACCCATATCCTTGTCAAAAACCTACCCAACTCGTCTATGGTAATAAAGACTTGATTAAAATTCTAGAAATTTTTCCTAATTATGCTATTTTAGAGAATTAGATGTTAAATACCTTAAACATTGATTACATTCAATTTGAGAAATTAATTTACAAGGAAATGATATTTCACTGAATTTATAAATCCCCTGTGAGAAAAAATATTTGTACGCTAAATCTACTTTCTCATCTTGTAAGTTGTATACATACATTTAATTATATTAATTTATATAATCTTGCAATTCTCTCGTTTTCCCTTTCCTTTCGTTCTAAAATTTAAACAATTGTTTCAAAATTAAGCATTATATGCAGCCCATTCTCCTGCCTGCCATCGTTGACTGTATAAGCTCTTTTTCAACTCTCACTATATTGTTGAATGATTAATGCTTTTTACTGTTTTAATCTGCTTATTTCACCCAGTGGGATCAAAAAAAAATTTTAAAGCATTGTTAACAAAATAAGATATTTTCCGTTGATTTATTATTTATTTTGTGTATTGCAAATGCCTAATACATGTATCATGTCTGAAATGTTGACATAAAATATTTAAAGAAATTGATTAAACTTACCATTTGTGTGGTTTAATCCGAGTGTATTATAATTTGTTTTTGCATTATTTGTATTGATATCTAGATCACAAAGAATAATCAGGATATTGAATAGCATCCAATAGGTTATTATTGATATGATTCTTTTGATTAATATTGTCGATTCCATTGTGAAGATATACATATGTGCCTATTAATTTTCCTTATTTGATACACACAATTTCATATTAACTTTCCATAGACATGCGATGCGTCTTTCAAATTATCAGCGAGTTGGTAATAAAAATTTTTCCTTCTATTGCTCACCACAGATTACATTTTTTTGCGAATCAATTGAGCACACAGTGTTCCTCATTATCAATTCATATCGTATAAACAAACAAAAAACATTACTGACAAAATAACCCTTGCAGAAATCTTGATATTGTTGTACTTCCATATTATTATTATTCACACTTATATGTACAGTCTCATTTGTTTTTCTTCTTGCATTTCCTGCAAATCAAACAATATTCTGCGAGTTTTGTAGGTTAAACTTCAATCATGAAAACCAAAACCCTTACTGACTCAAAAAACCTTCAGGGAAAATACTCTGATGTGTGTCAGCTAAAATGAGAGTATGAACAATGTTTTTTTTTTTTCAATTTTCCAATAGTTTTTGCTCTTTTTCCATTGCTATGCTCCTTTTTCTCTCTTCGGATCATTTTTCTCTCACATTTAGCATGTAACATCATCGCTGTCATATTGACCGCGTGAAGAAAATGCGCAAAGGTCCATCCAATTTAATAAGAGATTTTTATAAAGTGTATAATGATGCGAATAGAATATAAGCAGGCCAGAACAAGAGTAGTAACTTTTTTTCCCTTATTACATGCCAAAATAAAAAATTAGCTTCAATAAACAAAACTTTTAGTAGCAAAAAAATAGAAGCAAGTATATAAAGGTATGAGAAAGATTTGTTTTATTTATGTTTTCACGGGAAGTCAAGAGTTAATGGAATCATCACAAATTATAGTTTTGTATGTTGTCCTTTTTGGCACACTTTCTATAGAAATGTGTATTTATATATTGGTTTATCTTTTTGTCTATTTATAAGTCAATGTAATGAATTTTGTATTCTTTCTTAAATCCTTTTCATGGAAAATGCTTAAGCGCTTGTTCTCAGAATGGGTCTCAAGTAAGTACCGCATAAATGAGAAAATTAGTATAAGAAAATACTCGCAAAAAAATAAAAAGTAAAGCATATCTAATTAACAGAAACCGTTGGTAAGTTTTTGAATGAAACTTTAATAATCAAGATGCACTCAGTTTTACATGCCATGCAATCAGCAATTCAACTTTTTAATTAAATTTTGATGTGTCTCTCAGCACATGAATCTTTAATTAGATTCATACCTAAAGCTAGTGGAACTAAGTACAATTTTCATTTGAAAATTTAAACCATTTCTTTATTTATTGCACATAGAAACAAATTTTATTACATTTTTATAGAACCTTAACAGATACTGAACCAGGTATTATCATCAAAGGATTTTGCGAGGATGCAGCATCTGTTATGTGTGATGCGACACATGTATAATTACCAGTGTCCTTGAAATTTGCTCTAGTTAACAATAGGCGACTTGTCATTCCCTCGTTACTCTTTTCGTTTTCCAAGTTAATCCCTCCTCTTGTATAATCAACAATAGTAGAATTGTGATACCTTTTGCATATAACAAGTTAAGAATGAAGAAAGGAATAGAAAGAAGACAATAATATTTTATATGAAGCGAAAGTAACAAAAAAGGAGAAAGAGAAAAAAAAATATAACAAGAATCTAGAATGACTAAGACAATTTGTTTTGACATAATTTATTGCTCACCACAGTATTAATGATGCTTGAAGATCTACAGAACAAGTTAGTGAAATGGTGCTGCCTTTTGGTACTTGAATATTTGGAGGGCCAGCAATTTTCGCTCTTGGCACTGTTATTATTTTAAAAAGTATGAAAGCACATAATAAAATATTTTATATACCTCTTCATAAATATTTTATAAAAATTTCTGCCAGGTACGGAATATTTCATGAACTGACGCTATTTTCTTCTTAAAATATTTCAAACACTCTGTTTTTAAGTGTTTAGTTCTCCAACATTTATTTTGGAGCGTCTTCGTAGAAAATTTGTCAGAGCAGAAAATTGTTATACAATAATAACAATAAAACCCTTGAAATTTTAATCAATTTCAGGCCTAGTTTTCATACGTTTTTATGAGAAAGATCAAACAATTTTTTGGTAAAGAAGAATTACCAATTCAACAAATAGGATCAAGACAGAGATACTTCATCTTGTTCAATTTGTATGGTTTTTAGCCTTAGAGAGCTTTTCCTTAAAATCCATTAAACACTTAGATAAGACGTCTATAGACGGACTTTTAATGAGATATTTTAATCCCAGTTTTAATTCTATAAAATTGAGATAATCTCGGAAAATCCTCTAAATTAAATTATTCTATCTCGGAAATGAGCTATAAGTTATATTAATGAGAGGAAAACTAAATACTGACTTTTCATGATTTTCATCCACTATTCTCATGGCATATTTACAAATTATCATGAATATTAATAAAATTATGATTATTATCATTATTATGAAATTTAAAGATTTTCATTATACCTTTTCCTTCATAACGACTACTAATTTTCTGTCCACCTTCTTCCATAATATCAGAATCATCTGTTAATTAAATATGTTATAGTTATTTATGTTATAATTTATTTTAAAATTCTTCATCTTACTCATGACATCAAGAACAATAGGAAAATTTATCTTTGGCTCCGTATTAAGTTGACATTCATAAGTTGTAGCATCTCTAAGGCTTACAGGCTTTATTCGAAGATCCCAGTTATTGGATTCCAAAATGTGAATTACGGAAAAACGTGCATCAGTTGTATACACAAATGTATTTGATGTGAGGATTGCAAGATCATGCTTCCTTATCCATGAGATCTATTAAAATGTGCGTATAGATTCATAAAAAATAAAAAATAGATAAAAGCTAATATTTGGGAAAGTTTCTTACAGTTCTGTTGCCCTTATTGTAAACTGTACACTTTAACGTTACAGATTCGTTTACCACAGCTGTTATATTTTGAGCATTCTCACCGAAATATGGTTTGTTGACTACATCTGTCTTGGCTTTAATAAATATTATGAATAATCTTTGTTAGTAGTGTGATAAGAAGAAGCGTAAGATCGCTTGCTGGGTCAATTAGAAATCATATCAAATGTTCAAGGGAAAATAAAAACAATTAAGAAGAAAATTTTGCAACTGGTGATGTTAAATCACAAATTAATTATTTGGCTAGTGATATTTAATTTTGATTGATATACATAATCAAATTTACCATGAGCAAAAATATTAAGGCAAAATGGAAATTCATTATTGCATGACAAGAAAAATAGGAGAACTATTATCCGAAGTATTTTCCGCACACTCATTATTTTATTTATATATTTGATGATAATTGTGTAAAAGATTTAAAACAAATCTAAAATGATTGTATTAAAATTCCTTTTCTTATCCAGCTTATGATTCCTTATGTATTTATATACTCATATAAATCCTTATAAATATTTGGAAATTTGATAGTATATTTGGATTTTTGTTACTGTCGCTCGATTCTTTATTGCTATAAAAAATATTTTTCGAAAATATATTTCATTAGAAAAATGCCTTTAATATCCGCACGTCTCAAAAAACTGTAGAGAACTGACTTCCAAAAGAGAAAATCTCAATGTTTTATCTGGCATTGGAACTTGGAATGCTAGCGCATGTCTAACTTATTTGGCATATTATTACGATATTAAAACGTTATTTGGTTCCTTTAATGCAGAATGACTTTTGAATGAATGAAATTATTTTTGTCTTTTGTGGAAATTTAAAGTAATTCTTAAAGTCAATTTCTGAAATTTTTTAAACTTGACAGTTAGCCAATTCAATTACTCAGAAATATGCATTATTCAGTTGGTAGAAAGAACACACGGTTTCCATCAGAATCTTCATTTTCATGAATAAAACATGTTGTGTTTTGCTGTAAAAGAACTGAATTTTGATAATTCTGATGGGAATAATATCGATAAAATGTTCAAATACAGTAGCATTTATTGACGATTAGAGTACCGTTTTGAGATCCTGCTGCTTCAAAGCTTATTTATTAAAACTTATTTTTAAAAATAGATTTTACACATGTTTTTATAAAACCGAACATTTAAACTTGACAATAGCAATTCTACAATTAACAATACTATTTTTGAAATTACCTTGTCTAATAGATAAATTATAACAATTTTTCAAAAGATTAACTTTTCAAGTTATTAAAATTTTAAATTTTTCAACTTAATACAAATTTTTAATTTAACTTAACTTATTATCTTTTGCGTTAATTTTTTTTATTATACTAAATTCATTTAATTTAAATCTTTTTGTCCTGAATAAATATTTAAGTGCAAGATATTATAAAATTTTCTATAATTTTCAAGTTAATATAGTCTTGTTGTGATTAATTCTTCTTTTTATTATACCTAGTAATTTCACATATTTAGAGTATTAGAAAATTCAATTTTCATATAATTTTTTTACCTATTTTGATAAACAGTTGAAATTATGTTGTTATTTTTATGAGTCTGTACATGCATAAAAATGTAATGAAGTCCGAGTGATAATTTTGATCAGATTTTTTTTTTTCTAAGACAATCAATTTTTGCATCACCACAACGTGCTTCAAAATTTTTCTATGATGTAAGCTCATTTAGTTTTACTGCAACAAATACGTGCAACACAGATATATTGTAAGGTAATATGAAATTTGGACGTTTCTTTCGTACAGTGCAAAAAGAGTAAATAGTGGGCGTGAAGTACGGCCGAGACCCATATCGACACAGTTCAAAAGTTATACCTAATTTATGTCATAATTATGTCAGCTACAAAAACACTTAGTTTGAATTTTGTCACCCTCGGGAACACTATGAACTAAGTATAGCTGATTTTGGTCCAAATCTCGGCCATACTTCACACTTATTTAAACCACATTTTCTCGTAAATGTTAAAATATTATTAAAAAGTAATTAATCCTGAATTATGACGCTATTTTGTCAAGTGTTTTAAGATAAAGAATTTTTTTTGGTTTCCACAGTAAAGAGTATCAACAAAATTCAGATGGGGTAGTCGAAATTTTAGATTTCGATTTTTTTTAAGCTATGCATTACAAAAAGTAATATTGGTATGTGATTAATGTCAGAATTATGTCAATTCATATAAAAGATCCAAAAAATTTTTTTGAGCGAAGAACCAAGTAGGAAATACATTTTCAATTTTGGACTAGGGGCGACCCTAGTCAAAATCAATTTTGTTACTTTTTTCTTCGAGGGTTTATCCAAATGGATTGAAACTTTGCATAAATATTCTAGTGCTCAAAACATTAGGGTCGCCCCTAGTCCAAAATTGAAAATGTATTTCCTACTTGGTTCTTTGCTCAAAAAAATTTTAAGATGTTTTATTTGTATTTGTTTTAAGCACTAGAATATTTATGCAAAGTTTCAATCCATTTGGATAAACCCTTGAAGAAAAAAGTGACAAAATTGATTTGACTAGGGTCGCCCCTAGTCCAAAATTGAAAATGTATTTCCTACTTGGTTCTTTGCTCAAAAAAATTTTAGGATGTTTTATTTGTATTTGTTTTAAGCACTAGAATATTTATGCAAAGTTTCAATCCATTTGGATAAACCATCGAAGAAAAAAGTGACAAAATTGATTTTGACTAGGGTCGCCCCTAGTCCAAAATTGAAAATGTATTTCCTACTTGGTTCTTTGCTCAAAAAAATTTTGATGTTTTATTTGTATTTGTTTAAAGCATTAGAATATTTATGCAAAGTTTCAATCCATTTGGATAAACCATCGAAGAAAAAAGTGACAAAATTGATTTTGACTAGGGTCGCCCCTAGTCCAAAATTGAAAATGTATTTCCTACTTGGTTCTTTGCTCAAAAAAATTTTAAGATGTTTTATTTGTATTTGTTTTAAGCACTAGAATATTTATGCAAAGTTTCAATCCATTTGGATAAACCCTTGAAGAAAAAAGTGACAAAAATGATTTTGACTAGGGTCGCCCCTAGTCCAAAATTGAAAATGTATTTCCTACTTGGTTCTTTGCTCAAAAAAATTTTAGGATGTTTTATTTGTATTTGTTTTAAGCACTAGAATATTTATGCAAAGTTTCAATCCATTTGGATAAACCATCGAAGAAAAAAGTGACAAAATTGATTTTGACTAGGGTCGCCCCTAGTCCAAAATTGAAAATGTATTTCCTACTTGGTTCTTTGCTCAAAAAAATTTTAAGATGTTTTATTTGTATTTGTTTTAAGCACTAGAATATTTGTGCAAAGTTTCAATCCATTTGGATAAACCCTTGAAGAAAAAAGTGACAAAATTGATTTTGACTAGGGTCGCCCCTAGTCCAAAATTGAAAATGTATTTCCTTCTTGGTTCTTTGCTCAAAAAAATTTTAGGATGTTTTATTTGTATTTGTTATAAGCACTAGAATATTTATGCAATGTTTCAATCCATTTGGAGAAACCATTGAAGAAAAAAGTGACAAAATTGATTTTTAATAGGGTCGCCCCTAGTCCAAAATTGAAAATGTATTTCCTTCTTGGTTCTTTGCTCAAAAAAATTTTAGGATGTTTTATTTGTATTTTTTTTAAGCACTAGAATATTTGTGCAAAGTTTCAATCCATTTGGATAAACCCTTGAAGAAAAAAGTGAGAAAATTGATTTTGACTAGGGTCGCCCCTAGTCCAAAATTGAAAATGTATTTTCTACTTGGTTCTTTGCTCAAAAAAATTTTAGGATGTTTTATTTGTATTTGTTATAAGCACTAGAATATTTATGCAATGTTTCAATCCATTTGGAGAAACCATTGAAGAAAAAAGTGACAAAATTGATTTTTAATAGGGTCGCCCCTAGTCCAAAATTGAAAATGTATTTCCTTCTTGGTTCTTTGCTCAAAAAAATTTTAGGATGTTTTATTTGTATTTTTTTTAAGCACTAGAATATTTGTGCAAAGTTTCAATCCATTTGGATAAACCCTTGAAGAAAAAAGTGACTAAATTGATTTTGACTAGGGTCGTCCCTAGTCCAAAATTGAAAATATATTTCCTACTTGGTTATTTACTCAAAAAAATTTTAAGATGTTTTATTTGTATTTGTTTTAATCACTAAAATATTTATGCAAAGTTTCAATCCATTTGGATAAACCCTTGAAGAAAAAAGTGACAAAATTGATTTTGACTAGGGTCGCCCCTAGTCCAAAATTGAAAATTGATTTTCTATGGTGTACTTTGGTCAAAAAAATTTTTTGGATGTTTTATTTGGATTGACATAATTCTGACATTAATCACATACCAATATTACTTTTGTAATGCATAGCTTAAAAAAAATCGAAATCTAAAATTTTGACTACCCCATCTGAATTTTGTTGATACTCTTCACTGTGGAAACCAAAAAACAAATTCTTTATCTTAAAAAACTTGACAAAATAGCGAAATAATTCAGGATTAATTACTTTTTAATAATATTTTAACATTTACGAGAAAATGTGGTTCAAATAAGTGTGAAGTATGGCCGAGATTTGGCCCAAAATCAGCTATACTGGTTCATAGTGTTCGCGAGGGTGACAAAATCCAAACTAAGTGTTTTTGTAGCTAACATAATCATGACATAAATTAGGTATAACATTTGAACTGTGTCGATATGGGTCTCGGGCGTACTTCACGCCCACGAGTAAATATGCCCAAAAAATTTGTCAGTTTATTATGCAAACACTTGATAATAACAATTATTGACGAAACTGAAATTTCCGAATACATTTACCTCCTTTATCGCACTGTTTTTTTTTGTTCATCGCACTATTTAAATTTATGCAATTTAAAAAAAAAGAATAGTCGAGAAAATAAATTAAATAATCAATTTCTTATTTAAATTTGATCTTTTTTTTTTAATTAAAACAAAACCAATTTATGCTATTTAACTCATATAAATTAAAGTCTTTTATAAGATATATGTAAAACTATATTCTTTAAAATGTTGGTAATTCCGGGCATGTACCTACTTTTCGATAATTCGTATGTTTACGTTTTTTTTCTTATTAATTAAATCTAGAATCTTTTTCAAATCGCAAACCATAATTGAAAATTGGGATAAAATGAACCATTAGAGGTTATATCTTATTATATAAAACGATATAAGTATATATACATTTGTTAAAAAGTTTTAAGTGATTATTTCCTTTGTTCTCACATATTCGATCCGACCGAATGATTGAATTAGTCATACATACAGCAAAAAGAAATTTCTTTGCTAAACCTTAGAGATTAGAAAGTTTAAAAGTTGATAAAGGCCATAGGCACTTTATAGCATTTCAAATATTTTTTCAATCATTTTCTTTGTAATGGATTTTGAAATTGACTCCCAATACTTTTTGTAACATATTTTTTGCAGCAAATTTCCTCAGCTGTAGCTAAACTTTGACTCACAAACTTCGGAAATATAGACCATTAAGAAAATCCACTGCAAAATTTATTAAATAAATTAAATTTGATTTATGTTTTTCAAAAATTTGATTCAAGACTTTTTTTTATAAAGTTTTGCGTTTAAAAACAATAATTTTAATTTTCTGATTTTTTTTTTTTGGTTTAGATAAATAAAAGTAAAATTGAATTTGCATCCTTAGTGTTTTTCTTATGACTAAGGATTTTTCTGTTGAAGCACAACAAAAAACATTTATGCTTATATTGTAATATTTGAAATTTTTAAATATAAAGATTTTACTTGTAGTGCATCTATCATAGCTCAATTATCTAGAAATGCAAGATAAATTGTTAAATATTTATAAATCAATAAATTTCTTTATATTTTAATTAATTCGATATTTCGTTTTTTTTAACAGATCAGTTCTTGTATGAAATTCATGTCTATTTTATTAGAGCTAGATTTTCAAAATAGTTTTAATCATTCATATTTAATATTACTTTTAACTTATTTACTTGGCACACCATCCAGAAAGATTCCTGGACATGATCTCTACTTTCTGGATTTCAGCGATATTTTAAAAGTGCACTTTTTATTTAATTCACTTTTCTAGTCCTAGAATCGCTAAGTTTTTATTCGATTGCTCTTATTTACTCAAACTAATCTTACATCGTTTCAAATAGCTACTAAGATAAAAGATCTCAACAAACAAAAAAAAACTAGTGAACTGCTCTAAATTGTGTTTAAATTTTCTATCAGTTTAAGGGAAGACAAAACATGTGTTGAAGCAAACTTTTTTGTGGCGTTTGTTGAACTTCTCGCATGTGAAGAAGATTCATCTCATCAGCAACGGAATCGTATTCACTGGAATCCTCATAGCACTGTTGATTGAATTAAGATACAAAAATTAATTAAAATTTTCATTCAAAAATCATAAATTCAAATTAAACAAACCTGAATTGGATAGTTTGGATGATATTGGCAATTTGTGTTATGTCAAACACAATCATCAAATGTCATTAATAATGGATTGACATATTCAAATCCTTCAAATTCGGATTGATCTATTTTATCTATAATTCTATCTTCATCCGGTGTCAGTTGAACAGGCTCGTCTGTAAATTCTGGTGGAAAGTTTGTTAAATCTCTTTCATTTTCCAATCTTGGCTGGAACGGTGGCATTACTTGTTTTTGTTCCAACTTTAGAAGAAAAGAATAAGCAATAACATTTATTTGGGTTTTTATAAATAAATACACATTACCATTTCCCAATCTATAGTCTTAAAGAATTGATGATTAATAATGTCCAAAAATCCGTTTTCTTGACACCCTAATCTTTCATCAGGGTTTTTGTTTAAAAATCCTTTTAAGACAGATGCAGCCTTTACGCTTAAAGATCGAGGAATTCGAATAGCTTTTTCTAGTATAACTTGGAATAGGAAATCTTCAGTGGTTTGAAGGAATGATGTCGAATGAATGCTTCGACGTTTTCTTGACTGACATAAATTAGTTGTTGGTTCAGTATGTTCAATTCCAGAGACATCGAAAGGACTACGCCCACAAAGCATTTCATACAACAATACACCAAGCGCCCACCAATCAACACTGAAGCCATAGTCTTCTCCACGTAATATTTCGGGTGCTGTTTGGCATATGAATGACATTTAAACATGACCTTGATTATGAATGCAATAAAAAATCAATTGTACCTATATAATTTGGTGTTCCACAGAAAGTAGAAGTTTTATCTCCTAAACCGATACCTTCCTTACACATTCCGTAGTCTGTAAGCTTAATATGACCTTCATGATCTAACAATACATTGTCAAGTTTTAAGTCACGATAAATTATTCCCTAGAATCAAAAAAATTAAAATATTTAATTCTCAATCTGTTGATATTTCAAACCTTTTCATGCAAAAAATTAAGCGCTAAACTAATTTCCGCAGCATAAAATCGAGCATGTTCTTCTGGGAGTTTCCTTTGTCGTTGCATGTGAAACATTAAATCACCTCCCCTATAAATATAATGTTGATTGATGAATTAAGTAAATAATGCTAATCAGTACAAAATAATAAAATGTTAATGCTTACCGAACAAATTCAATAACAAAGAATAGTCGTGAAGGTGTTTGAAAACATGAATGTAAACCAACAAGAAATGGGTGATTAGAAGCTGTTTCGAAAACGTGCTTTTCTGTTTGAACCCAATCAATGTCTTCATCATCTGTTACTAATGCTTTCTTGATTACTTTCATTGCATAAATTCGTCGGGTTTTCTTGAGTTCAACCATCAATACTTTTGCGTAACTCCCCCTTCCAATAACTTTAATCAACTCAAAGTCTTCTAATGAGTATTGTTTCTGTATTGGAGTTTGACAGTCAATTTCTTGATCAGACATGTAATTTTGACTGCAATCCGACAAGTCACAGTGAAAAGTATACGATGGTGCCTCATTGTTTCCATTTAATTCCTGTTTAAATTATATAAATTTTTATAAATCGTCAACAATCTGTTTCAACCCAATATTTTGTACCGAAAAGCATCATTATTTAAAGTTTATAAATAAAAAATTTCCTTACCTCACCACTATCAGTAGTGATATCACTGTAATCTTTTCCACATGGTCTTTGCACCAGTTTATGACATTTTTTGTGTACCAATAATTTGCATTGTATACATTTGAATCCTTGCTTACCCAAGCCCCAGATACGATCGTGACAAAATGTGCAAAATGCTTTCTTTTGTTTTTATAACGTAAAGGAAAACATATAGAAAATAAATAAATAATTACAATAGCTTTGCATCTAGAAAGAATAATTAGTGACGTAGTGCATTAGGTTTGTGCTTTGTGTGCTATCAAACCAAGTTTTAATTTTATTGTTTTATGGAAACAAACTTTATAATCATCATTTTTGCTTATTCTGTTATTTTCGATTGATTTAATATCAAGAATAAAAATGTTATTTTTTTATTTTGACAAATATGTTGAGTTAATTTTGAAACATTCTTGAGTGTAAAGGATCAAAATTTTTACGGATGTTTCTATTTATATTCATTGAAATACAAAAATTCTTCAAACATGCTGAAAATTCTTTTCAAAAATTCTGCTGTATGGAATTTTCATCGAAAATATTTTTGAAGTCCTCTTTGCATGCTTGAATTGTCACTACTTTAGTGTATAACAATATAGAAACAATTTATGTTCTAACAAATATTATCGTTATTACACGAATTTCAAATCATTGTGCACCATATTACACGTTATATTAAATGCTTTCATACTCACTCGATTAAATCGTTTTGCTTGAAAAATGTGTCCATTTATTCTATATAATTTTCTCCATCTACGAGCACCTCGACGATAAATACTACGATCTTCTGTTTGATAAGACATTTGTTGATTAGGTTGTGGTATGCTAATTGCAGTATTTGGAAAAACGGTGGCATAGGCCGGTTCTATTTCGTCTTCAGAATGCATACTACTAATATGAGGAATAATAGGAACAACAGGAATTGGAATTGGCATCCTATCATAATGTGCCGTGGTATCTGTATAATATCCTGATCCGATTCTACACATGCTAATGCCATCACTACCACCTATAACACTTGCATTTTCAACAGTTCCAGCAGGACTAGATTCTGAGCTTGAGCCTCTTCGAGATACTCCTGTTGATCCTGGACACGAGCCGCAACGAATTAATGAAGAATTAGATTTTGCTGTAGTAATAATATGATGATGCATAGCTTGAGGAATTGCATAATCTCCTATATCTCCCATTCTAAGTGAAGCATTTCTAGTCAGAGTATTAGTGGCAGACTGAATCGATGGTTGAACGGCTTTACAAATAAGGTCCGTCAGTTGATTCTAAAATTTTAAGAAAGAAAATTCAATACAATTTTAATTGAACATGATAAAAATAATTTCAATGAAACAAAATTCAATAATCAATATTTAAAAATCTCAATCATAGGAAAATATATATAAATTCGTACATCGATTGCATTGCTATCCAACGATGTTCGACGTGAATAAGTATAATGAATCTGATGTATATGTGGGAGATGAATTTGTTCTTGTGAAATATGAAGCTGCTGCTGCTGCTGTTGTTGTTGTTGTTGAATAAGCTGTTGCTGTTGTTGTTGCTGCTGATTATATTGACATTGCGGCTCCTGACAATCGTGACATTGTTGAGGCTCAGGTGATTCTATTAAATTGAAATTTCTCATTTGAAATTGGATTGAATCAATAATAATGTACATGTTTTTGTGCCATAAAATACTACAAGCTTATAACTCATCATTTTAAACTTTGTATCAATATTAATATAGCATTATTGAACAGTTCTCTGAGTTTATCTAATGGTTAGTGCAATATCCACAATACAAAATGTGGAAAATCGTCACATGGAATTGAAATTTCCTCAACTTAATTTTCATCACATAAATGTATCATTGAACGAAGAAATGCATGAGTTCTCATTGATTTTTATTCTTACCTGTAGTTCCACTGCATGATGGACTATTGCAAGTTGGACTATGACACGTACTTTGACATGGACTACCACACACAGAACTCATTGCGCTTTGTTTTGGCTGCTGCTGAATTTGTTGCTGTTGTGGTGTTGGTATCATTGTCATATGGAAATTGCTCTTTTCTTCTTGCTGAATATTTTTATTCATTGCAATGGTGTATTGTGGTTGATGAGATTGATAATGAAGAGTAGATGATGTTGTTGTTATTCTTCGTGGAGAACGTCCTCGGTCAGAAACCGTACTTGCAGACCAAAATCCCCATGCCATTTCGGCAGATTTTTTTGAGCACTTATTGAGGTTTTAAATAATTTAGGAAATATAATAAAGCAAAACAAAACTTTTTCCTTTCACAGTTCTTGATTTTAGGTGAAGAAATATACAATTTTATTTTTTTACGTCAAGGGAGAAGAGAAAAAATCTATACATGCGCAAAAGTTCTTGGGCTGGATACTAAAAATAATGAAATTTTTTGTTGAAATTGAACGAATTATAGCCTTATCCTTTTATCGCTAGTTTCTTTTTAACACTGCAGCATTAAAAATTATTTAAATTATTTCCTAAAAACTGTTTCAATTAGTTTTGAATGCCTCAATACTGTGCATATTAAAAATGTGATAGAATTCTATTAAAAACGATTTTTCCACTTTTCCTTCACCACAAACAATAATTTTGCTGGTTCAGCTTTAATAACGTGGGCTTATTTATCGGAAATTAATAATTTCTAGTTGGTAAATTTATTTTAAAATCTTTAACAGCAATTTTTACCAGCAAGGACTCTACAATCACTCCTACTGAATAAAAGCTTACAACAACTTGGAAATTTTTATCTAAAAAGCGCTTCAAAAAATTATGTCGATAAGGCAGTCTAAGCATGCAATTTTGTAAATTTTAAATCTGATGAACTTTTTTGTGTCTCATAAATTTGAATGAAGACTGAACATAAACGTCTTTTTAACTTTATAATTAAATTTGCATAACAACTTTTTGCTGTAAAAATTATAAAGTTGATTAACATGTGATAATTTTAATATAATACAAATTTTTTTATTTAATATCTTAAAACTTTTTATTATGTGCATTTATCTTGCAACTTTATAGAAAAAGACAAAAAAATTAAATTTTTAAATATAAAAGAAAATAGCAAATCACATGCTTGAGTGTATAAATTATTGTGTAAGTTAAGTCTATTTAATTTTGTTATTGTCTAAAATTTCTTCATATTTTTTCTTCGCAACTTCAATTAACTGCTGTTTCTCTGAAGCATCGAGATTATTGACTAAACTTCTTAAAAATCCATCCGATTGCTGTAGTAACTTGTATGGGATATCGTATTCTTTTGCATAGCCATTTTCCATAACAAGGATCATATCAGAATCCATGACAGTATGAAGTCGATGTGCTATGGTGAATACAGTGAAATTTGAAAATTTATCCCGGATAGTTTTCTGAATCAAATAGTCCGTTTGTTGATCAATATTTGCTGTTGCTTCATCAAGCAATAGAATTTTATTGTTTCTTAAAATTGCACGAGCCAAACAAATCAGTTGACGTTCACCTACAGAGAAGTTATTACCTCCCTCTGTAACCATATATTGCAGACCACCTACAGCTGTTTTCATTTCAACCGTCTCAAGGGCATTCCAAATTTGATCATCAGTAAAGGCATTAAACGGATCCAAATTATACCGAACAGTTGCACTAAATAGCACCGGATTTTGCGGAATAATTGATACTTTCATTCGCAAGCTTTGCAGATTTATTTCGCCAGTGTCAATTCCATCAATTAATATTCGACCATCGATATATGACAATCTAAAGAGTGCATTTATAATTGAACTCTTTCCTGCTCCCGTTCTTCCAACTACTCCAACCTTACTTCCTGCTTCGATTGTGAAATTTAAATTTTTTAAAGAAGGTGGCGAATTGATGTCATAGTATAATGAAACATTTTTAAATTCAATTAATCCTATTTAAAATGAAGGGTCGTAAGAAAAATAAAAAATAAATAAATATTTTGTATATTTTATCGTGTAATGCAAGAATTATTTTAAAACCCAAAATTCGAATAATCAGTCATTAATATTTAATTCAATGTTTTTACCCTTAAAAGGCCAGTCTTTTGTTGGTTTTTTTGTTACTATAGGTTCTTGATCTAATTTTATATACTGAAGGACACGCTCAGTATTAGTAAAAAGTTGAAATGATTCCATCATTTGTCTAATTCCATGTTGAACCATTCCGGTTAGAATTAATGCTTGAGATATTGCTAATCCCACATTCGAACTCGATGTTGTTTCATCATTCATTATTATGAAACTGTAACAAATTGAAGCTACAAAGGCGCATGAAACACAGTCAAGCCATAATCCGAGTGCTAGATTTTCAAGAAAGTAATATATATATATATATATATATATATATATAATCTTTAATTATTCTGTATGTTGACGTATATAAGAAAGATATGATAACGTTTGTATTCAATTGGCAACAATATCTATTTAAAATGTTTCCTTTTGATAGCTATTAGCAACCAAAAAGTTGTCTTTCCACTGTTGCTATAGAATTACCTGTATTAATGCTTAAGAGGGTTTGCCAAACACCTGAATGCACATCTTGTAGCTTATCAAATTCGGACGTCAATTGTTCTGCCATTTTAGATGCTCGTATCGTTGAAATTCCGGATAAAGTTGACGTCATTTGACCGAAAACAGGACTTTTTGCTAAATTTATGTGACATTTAGACAATTTAAAAAACTTATAAATTGTAGATTGGGAAAACTTACTACTTCCTTCTAATCTTTTTATATCCTTAGCTGGTCGTAAATACATTTTTAGTATTAATCCATAGAGGATAGCTGTTATAATTAATGCTGCTGGAAATGTATATCCTGTTGTTGTTAATGCTATGAGAACCAATATTCCCATCATTACTAACAAGTTCTATAGAAAATGAAGACAAAAAAGAATATCATTGGATAAAATTATTCGAACGTGAATTATGAGTTTTCCATGTTCAACAAAAAGTTTTCAGAGTTAGATACTTTTTTTTAAAAAAGCATTAAACAATTGAAAGCTTGAGCTAATATGTTTTTAACTTTTGGATATTAAGAGAAAATGTAGCTTTCAACCACTTTCAACATGAAACTTTTTTTTAAATTTACTTTGTTACTAATTCAAATTCAGATGAGAAAATGTTTATAAATAGATGTGATATCATTACCTGTACGGCTTCAATAATTGCTTTTGGTAACGATTCGTCTACAGCTCCCATATCCTTGCTAAATTGAATGTATCATAAGTGGAAGTTATTTATTAAATTTATAGAATTTCTACTTCAATTTTCAAGACTATTCTAATTTTAAAAACATTTTCACTCTAATCGACAGCTCAAATTGAAACCAATATTTTAAAATTACAAGAAAATGAAATAAAGTCAATGATGAAAACACTCAGATAAAAATTTGAATCCTGGAGTTGAAAATTGACAACCATGCTACGTTTCAACACACCTAAATCGATTGAGAATTCTTCCTACTGGATTTAAGTCGAAAAAGCGCATGGGGCTATGAAGAAGGCTTAAAAAACTTGTATCGTGAAGCTTTTTAGAAGCGCGCATGCATACAGCAAAAAAGATGAATCCTCTTGATAAAGTTACACTAACGACAGCAAGTATTAAAAATCCATAAATATAGAGACCATCTTTTGTGCTGAACATCGTCTCCATTTGATTTATACGCAATAATTCTTGATTTGTCCAAAACGTTATGAAATAATCCGAGGCAGAAGTAACAAATTGAGAGAATATTAAGAATATAGCAACACTCATAAGAACCGACATAGTAGCACCAGCACGGAAATATTCGATGAAAACTTTTGCAAACTTAATTTTCTTCTCATTTCTATCTTCATCGCGAAGATTTTTCTGCTCGTTCATATTCAAGTTCTCCATACTGTTATCTACTGATGAACGAGATGAAATTTTTGTGTCTGATGTTCTGAGTTTTAAATAGCCTTTTGGATTTTCTGGTGCATCATCAATATATGGTATATCATCATCATCACTATGCGGATATTCATTATCTGATGTGTCATCATTCTTTTCACAATCAGATGAAACATACTGATATAAATCAATATCCATTACATCATTCCACGTGCCCTGTCTAACAATTTTTCCCTTGTCGATTACAATTATCCAGTCAGCTTCCTTCAGGAAATGAATTTGGTGTGTAATAAGAATTCTGGTTGCTTTTTGACGCGCTAGATAACCATTGGGTCCTAAACATTCTGTAAATAAATGCTTTCCTACATGAGCATCCACAGCAGAGAGGGGATCATCGAAAAGATAAATTGAGGATTTTTTATACACAGCTCTTGCTAAACTAATTCGTGCTTTTTGTCCACCAGATAAACTCATTCCACGCTCCCCAACATATGTTTTATCTCCATATGGGAGTTGATGAAAATCTGTCTCTAATGCACAATGCTTTACAGTCTCCGAATAACGTAATTTATCATATTCCAGTCCAAAAAGAATATTGTTTCGTACTGTTGACGAAAACAGCCATGGATCCTGTGAAGCGTAGCTTGTGTCACCATTGATGTAAATATCGCCGGTTTCAATCGGAAGCTCACCAAGTAGTAATTGAAAAATAGAACTTTTGCCACTACCCACAGGTCCAATAATTGCGCAAAGCTTTCCTGCTTTCATTCGACAGTTTAAATTTATTAGAGTTTTGTTGTAATCACTGGTCCATGAAGCTGTGATATTAGATAGTCCAACAGCAAATTTGGTTTTAGATTCATTACTCTTGAATCCATTTGCCAAAACATCCTGCTCTTCAAGGCTCAGGAAATCTTGTATTCTTTTTATTGAAACCTGTCAGGACAGAATTAAAGAAATTAATGATCATTAACCCAAAATAAAACTCCAAAACTTTTTAAATATTAAAAAAATTATTATAATAAATCAAAATTAAAATTCTAAATGCTTTCCTAGGCATGATTAAGTTAGAATTTTTCAAAGGGGTTTTCAATTTATTTGTATATAAAAACATAAGGAGTCGTACATGTGTATAAAAGAACTAAATGAAAAGGTAAATGGAAAAATCATAAATTCATTCAACATAGAAAATAATAGGTGGCTTACCAGTGCTTCAGCTCCCAACGACACTGCCAGTGGATAAAATATTGCAGCCGTCAATTGAAGGACATTAAAAAATGTTGCCATAGAAAACACTAAATCAGCGGTCACTGCACGTTCCTCTAATACACATGCAAGAATGGCAAGGAATAAAGTAGAACGTTCAGTAAATACCATAGTTGACATATATATTCCTCTGATATATTGGGCCATTTGAATTTGATCCACCTCTTTTTTGCGTGCCAATTTGATAACGCTTCTAAATGGTATTTCCCAAGCATACATTTTAATTACTTGGATCCCTTGAATAAGTTCATTCATTTTGGATACACGATCGTCCGTTCGTATTGCGATTTTCATTCTAAATTAATGAATCGTCGATTAAAAATATTTAAATTATTTTGTCGATTTATCATGGTAGCAACAAAAAAGTTGACCTACCTCAAAATAGCTGAAACTCTTGATAATCCAGTTTGAATTGGGACTGTTTTTAGCAAAAGTCCCAAGACTCCAACTATAGCTGCATACTTTGCCTTTCGCCATATCAAATAACAAATTAAGCAAGCTAAAATGAAGAAAGCTTTAAGAAGTGATTTCTTGACAATTACATTAAACTTTCCCACCTTGAATAGGAAGCACCCATATGAAATGCACATAGATGAAACCAAAATCAAATCTATTTACATCATTCGATAAAAGATTTATTATATTTCCAGCAGATGTTTGTGTTATTGCTCTTTTTGACATTCTTAGTGATTTTCGGTAAATTGCAGCTGAGCAAGCAATACGCATCCTAGCCCCTACAAATCTTTGCCGAAGATCAACATGATGATTTAAGATGCAAGATATAAACGTAAATACTACTACGAGCGTGGACAACCAAAATGGATCAGTCCTATTTAATGAGATAAATATATTTTTCTATTAGTCAGAAAGGAAGTAAGTTCCTAAACGGATTGCCGAATTGCCAATCATAAAACGCTTTTATACAACAGATAATAATGAATGACTATAGTCATGGTAAGGATATTGTAACACATTTATAAATTAAATGCGTTTAAAGGCATCAAACTATTATCAATCATTTCAAACTTACCAAATAGACGCAATATATTGAAAAACCTTATCCCAAATATTCTCGTCATCTTCATTAGAGATTGATATAATGGTTGATTCTGTGGTGCTTGCCATAATGATTGTTGTTGATAATGTGGTTGCGTTGTCATGTATGATAGCAGTCTCATTAACATTCACCATTAGTGGTTTTTGAAATTGAATTAGTAACTGAGACAAAAAGACCGGAGTGATTGATTTAAGGAGGGTAAATGTAAACACAAGAAAACCATCGACGATACAACTCAAATAAAATGTCTTGAATAATGCATTCCTCAAATGTGGTGAGCTATTTTTCTTTCGCGCTTGTTCCAACTCTTTTTCCCATTCTCTGAAAGAAAAAAAGAATAAGTTATTATATCAAGTTATGATGATTGTTCAAATACCCGGGGAATGAGTTATGATTCTGATAGTCATTCAATTGAGTGAAATGAATAAATCAGGGTTTAATATCGGCTCGACTTTCATATTCATATTTTGAATTGGCTAAAATATTTATTCATATTTGGAAAACTGAAAAATGATATTCGATACTAAACTCCTGAAATAAACACATAAACAAATTTTTTTACAATAGGCGTGCAGAAAAAAAAGATTTATGTCATAAGAAAAATATATCGTGGCAAACCTGTTTACATAATCTAAGATCTTTACAACTCTCTTTAGAAATGCTGAAGAAAAGACGAGGAAAAGACTTTAACGTAAATCTTCTAGAGCCTCTTGAAGCCCCACTGATTAGATTACGTTGACTTGAAGCATCAACATTTTAACTTGTGAAACGTTTTTCAGTATTAAAGGAAAATTTACGAAAATGGAAATATGCTTTATATAAGAGAGATGTACGTATTAGAATATGTGATGAATAGCAGCACATCTAAGGATGTCTGTCTGTCATGTCGTTAAAAATAATTTAAGTTAAATGTGTCACTGATAAAAAGAAAAGTGATAACATAAAGGTATAATTTTGAAAATTTACTTGCTTTTTTGTCATTTCACCGACGGAAACTTTGATCATTTCCATCTTGTTATCTGATTTCTAGTGCCATTTAGCGAAGAAAAAAACTATTTTAAATATCCTTAACATTTGAAATAAAAAGCAAGTCCCATTGAATAGCACAACAGTTTTATACACAAGAGGAATAATTGAAATCAATATAAATTTATGGTAACAGTGGTACATTTCAGTTGCCATTTTGATAAAAAAAAATAAAAAGACATTGAAATCATAAAATCATTTTCAATCGATTTGGGAAATGTTTTGTTATATGCTGACAGACAGGCGGATGTATTAATAAAAAACTGACAACTGCACCTCTTCTTAATAAACTCTTTTGTAAAATCTATATCCTTCATACTTCTTTATTTGTTTAAATGATTTTTAATTTAATTTTTATTGGCGTTTTTTCAAAAAATGCGTTTCATGAAAACATTTATGAACCTTTATTTACAGAACTAATATATGCATTGAATAAAAATGTTTGAATCGATAAATAATTTCCATCTGACAGCAGAAGCTGATAATATTTTAAAACAAATATATTATCAGAATTCTTCCATAAATACACATATCACGTAAAGATAGAAGAACAAACCTTGTAAATTATACTTACATCAACTGACAGTATACTACGCTTATTATGTTGGTTAGCGAAAACCATAGAGAGCAGATAAGTTCTTACATTTTTGTGAACATTTTATAACTCAATTAAAATTATTATAACATTTTAAAATCTTATTAGAGCTTCCAACGCTGTAGGTGTCTTTCAATTTTTGATGATGGGTGATAATAATATATAATTGTTCTTGAAAAAGTAAATTTAATTATTTTGAAGGATGAAAAGCGTTGACATAATTATAAAAATTTCTTAGGTGTCATTTGCATATTTATTGGACTCTTCATATTTCTTTAAAATTTTATTATTATTGTCAAGGCGTGGACACTGGGATTAATCCCAATAATCCCAAATAATCCCAATAATCCCAATAATCTCAATAATCCCAGATTTGGGATTATTGGGATTATTGGGATTATTAAAATAATTTTAAAATTTGTCAGATTTAAAATCTATTAAATGTTAAAATTTTGACTAGTATTGAAAAGAATAATGTCCCCAAAAATCTTTGGATACATTTTAAGTTCAGAATATTAATATAAAAATTATCTAAAGTAATGAACTCTCCTTAAAACGTTAAAAAGTGATTTTTTACCAATAAAATCTAGTGCACTAGTCAAAAATTTACAAAAATCAATTAAATTTGTCTTTTAAATGCTATATTTGATCGATTAACTATGTGTTCTAATTAAAATAATCTTATATTAGCCCAAAATCAATTAAACGATACATATTTCATCAAAAAAATTTCTTCGAACCAAGTTTTTGATTCGACAAACCTAGTAAAGTTAGAGGTGTCCTCGATGATAATTACGGCTATGGTTAAATTATTGACTTTTTGGCTTTTATGGGGATAGTTGAAAAAATCGGCTTCGATCTCTGGGATAAACACTTAAAACGATGCATTTAGAAAAAATAAGATCCAATGGATACCAAATATAGCATTGTTAAATCTTCAATTTACTACCAACATTTCCCGGGATCCCGAAATTCTCGCCATCGGGATCGAAATTGAAAATCCTGATTACAAATTTATAACGGGAAAAAATTGACGACTTTTGTTAAAAAAATATTTTTGTGATCTAGCTGAAGCACTACGTTATAGAATACTCAAAAGTATAAAACTTTATAAATAAAAGTTTTCTTAATACCCTTTTCAATGGTATATAACGTTGGACTTCCACACCAAATAAGGTGCGAGCTTATTTTAAATTTTTTACATTTTTGACTATATCTTTTGTTATACTCAATGAATCTCAGTGAAATTTTTATAGATTTTTAATCGTAATTGTATCAGTAAACGCTGACCGAAAAATTTCAATCCCGATCCCGAAAATTTTCGGTTCCGGAATTTCGAGAGAGCATAATTGAGAAAGCATTGAACTGGAATGAATCTAGATCAGCAGGACTTATTTTAGTGGATAAACAAGATCATTGTTATTGTTTGAAAAAGTGTTAGATCTAAGGTAAAAAAAACTAACCACCATTTTGAAAAAGGACATGGTTTAGGAAAATTCTATATTGAATATATTTAACTGTGAAGGATAAAAACACAAAATTTACTTGGCCATACAACACTTATAATTTTTTTAATATGATCTTACGTTGAATTGCTCCAACGAAATTAAGTGAAAATTGAGAAAATTATGTTCAAAAATATATTTCTCAGGAAGAGAAAGAAAATCGAAATTTTAATCTTTTTAAGTCATTTATGAAAATATCCCAGTAACTTAAATACTACAGCAATTAGAAGTATGTATATAATATCGAAAACATGGTACATTTTGTAGAACTTGTTGGGGAAAATACTGGAAATTTTAATAAAAACAAGGCTATAACAAATATTCATACTTTAGACAAGCAATATACTAAAATAACCTTAAGGTTCCTCAAAGTGAGGTTTTTGTCTGAAATACTTAGAACAGTAGTCATCAAACTCCAACAAAACTAGTAATAAAGCCAAAACTTTCCTTAGACTGATGTTTTAATATAGACATTACTTAGGAGACTAGAAAATACCAGAGGGCGAAGTCGACTCGAATTTTGTATGGAAAAGTCGACTTGAGTTCACTCGACTTCATACAAATTTCGAGTCGACTTCGCCCTCTGGAAAATACAACTAAAAACTCTATAATGGCAATGTCTAATCATTTTCCAGAAACCGATTGTTTAAATAAATCAGTCAAAATTCTATGAAAAATTATTGTATATGATGAAATTTATATTTTGGTACTCGACAAACACTTCAAGATGATCAAAAAATTCAAAATATTTGAATAATTTTTTCTCTAGTAATCCCAAATAATCCCAAATAATCCCAATAATCCCAATAATCTCAGCGTATTTTTGAGTGTACACGCCTTGATTATTGTTTTGTTGCTGAGAAAAAGAAGGAAGAAATAGTAAGTCAAAATATCTATTATTACTCTAACGTGATATTCAATCGAGCCCTTAAGCTTTTCTCTAGAAAATTAAATTTAAAATTATGAAGTCTATGCAAAAAATCAATGAAGCCAACTATTTTTACTTCGTTAATTTTATAAAAGACACTAAGTTTAATATTAAGTGACCAAAATGTCATTGCGACAAAACATGCCCAGTAAAATAATTTCATTAAAAATTGTTATAAAGATAATTTATACATTTAACAAACTTATCGATATAGAACGAAAGATCACAAAACTTTGATAAGAAGTTCAAATATGTAACAAAACGTGACAAGGTTTATTATCAAGGTCAGTTTTTGTATTTTCAATACATACAAAAGCACGCATATAGACAAAAGAAGAATCACATGTTCTTCTTCTAAATATTAATTCAATGAAACAGCTCAGAATATTAATATGAATTCAAGAAACTTACATCTCAAGCTTTTCTCCTAAATCCTTAGAATTATCTGATGGTAAACATTTCGTTAGGTCTTTCCAATCTAAACCGTGAAAGGCTCCCTGTAATTTATTAAATAAAATAAAATTACTTGGGAACAATGGCATGTAATTTCATATCTTTTATTATTTCATTTTTATCTTTTTCTCGCTGTCAAATAAAAATGCGAAAACAAAACTCACCCTTAGTATTGTCGGTACGGACCATAAAAAGAATAATTGTGATAAGGCATTCGCACTTTCTCTGGGATTTTTCTTCTCAATTTTTTCAGACTGATCCATTGTTTTCTTTCAATTGTTATTCACACTATTCAGCACTTTTATTTATTGATTCCAATTAACTTGAGCATTTCGACATTGATTGGCAATTTGAGCGTCTTGATTTAAATTGAAATTAATTGATTAAAAAATTAAAGTTCCTCAAAATAGAATGTAAAGTAATTTTTTGTGTAAATCAATCACTTTTACTATTCTTCAATAATTTTTTAATCACATTTTCACTGTAAATAAAGAGAACAACTGATGCCTGTCTTGATTTCAAAACAACACAAGATTGACTAAAGCCACAAAAAGTGAGTAATTTTTCAATACACTCTTACAAATCACATTCACATTTAAAACAGCATGATCTTCGATTTTTATTTTTATACGGAGATCATTCAACTTTGCACTCTTTTTGTTGAGAATCCCGGTGTTTCAACTAGTTTGACAAAGTAATTAATTAATTATTGAGATGTTTTGCGAGTACTTGAGTAGGTTTTGTCTAAAATTCCAATCTATTCCATTAAATATGCAAATTTCAGATTCTCATATTTTGAAATATTACACACATACAGTTTAAAAGTATTAATGCTTATGTATATACAACAATCTTAACCGTTAATCGAACGCACATGCATTTTCTCTTGGCCGGCTTTTTCTCTCTATTTTTTTGTGTATGTCTTACTTGGCAATGCTTTTTTTAAAAGAATCATTTATATTGATTTATTTCTCACTCTTTTTTTACTATGAAGAAAAATACAAATGAATTATTTCACACACTGATTTCCACAACATTTATTAAACACATGTAAGAATTCTTTTCTGACACATTCACTCTCTTAGGATTTTTTTCCAGAGAGACATGTTTCATGCAAACATCTGTAAAACATATTGTTGTACTTGTTGCTTTCATTATTTGACGTGATTTCTAAAACAATTAGCAATTCAAAATATGTTTGATCTCGTTTTAAAATACTGACCTAACATTTAATACTCATTCATAATGTATTCTGGTATATGACATTTTTTTGCGTAAAATTTAAACACAAACTACATGACCCGTTTCCCTCATATAAATTAAACATTGACAGAGATATTATTCATGATGGCATTTCGACTTACTGTTTTGAAAAATGGTAGTCTTTCTATGTTGTCGATGCTTTTCGCCTTTTACTAAAGAAATAGTAAACACTTTTAGAAATCCTAAACAAAACATGATAAAGATTAATGGAAACAATTTTAAATCTCAATGAATTTCAAATGACGAATGGACAAAAGGAGTTTATAGAAGTTAAGGGATTTTAAACTTTGTTGATCGCCCACACATGCTACGTGTATATGAAAAGAGGAACTTTATTTGAAATATCAATATCTTAGATGAATCAAAAAAGTTTAAATGACAAAATTTGATTTCTAAAAATAGCTTTTCAAATTTTTCTGTCATATAAAACGATAATGTGATGGAAAAATCATCATCATCAAATCAAAATTATGAAACAAGAGAGTTTCGTGCTTTCATTTGATTTTTATTTAATAGATTGAAATTATATTTGCTTAAAAAATATCAATCTTGTATGAAAGAAATGAAAGCTAGATTTAAGTCGAGCGTATCAACTTTTACAGTCTAAAATAGGAAAATCTTTATCTTACAAAAATATATTTTAAATAGACAGACAAAAGCCAAAAATTTTAGTTTGAATGTGATTATAAATTGACATAACCTTGACTTTTTTTTAAACTTAATACAAAATTCATGAACCTTCAATAAGTATCATCCCATTTCAAGAGTTTCGACCTTCTTTCAACCAAATCTCTTGGGAATGCTAACTTATTCTCAAATGAAGAAATCCCTTTTAAAAAATTATTTCGAATCAAATGAGGCTTTAAATTTCCAATTCTTCCATCAGTAACAAGAGAGTAAATATTTGGGAAAGAATGAAAGGCACAACAGAAAATGAAATGAAATAAAATGAAAAATTCGAGATCTATGTAGATTGACATTTTAAATCCACAAAAATGGGATATTGAAATATATTTTTTGAGCAAGTAAAATTTGATTCCATTAAAGCAAAGCATTATTTCACACTGTAGTTAATTCAGTAACATTCTAATTGGATTTTTAAAAAGTTTTATTGTTATAATAACTAAATGATATTATGTGGCGAAATTAGGGTGGATATTAACAGAATTCACTCTGAATTTATTCCACCATGAACAGTCGAAAAAAATTAAGCAGACAAAATGTTACAAACTCGCAAAATCGTCAGCAAAAAAATTCATGATGCATAAACAATGAGTTTATTTAATTTTCTAGTCAATATTACACATTGTCCCCCTTTTTTTGTGGAAAAAGGATTTGTGTCAAATGCGCTTCATTAATCACATCGCTTTTGTGATTTTTTTAACGCTTAATTTTTTGCTGTGTATTTTTTTTATCAAAACTTAAAATGTATTTTAATGTAAACTATGAAGGGAATGCGCTACAGCGATTAACTTAAACTGATTTTTTCATATCATCTACAACAACATGAATGTAATGAAAAGCATAGCATAAACAAAGGAGACAAAAAATCTTAATTAAGTCATTGTTTTCAGAAAGGGAAAACTTTTTATTATTTTCAATTTAAATAGGGTATGTAATCTATTATTTGTAGCATTTGGGTTGGTATTTTAAATGTTATTACAGAATGATTAATAAACTATTTACATTCTTGTAATGAATGTGTTACATTCTTTTGGAAATGATATAAACTACTTTACATTTTATTGTAATATCTTCTGGAAAATAAACTTACAGAACTATTGTCTCTAGTATTATTTCAGTAACAATAATGAGCTTATATTATTTAAATGTAGCAAAAGGGATGCTTCTCCTTCATTAATGTCGTACACCGTCATTCACTTATAAAATTCAGAATCTTTTTGTGGACTAGCCTGAAATTTAACAAGAAAATTTTGATATGATTTGACCTCCGGAGGTTATCATGATATCTATTTAAAAACTAGACTAAAGATGAATGGTGTAGCTGAGTATTATAAGAATTTTCAAAACATACATCCATCTCTGATCAAGTTTTGTCATAAAAATTTGTTTTTGATTTTGTTAAGAAACAACTTTTTTACCCTAGAGAAAAATAGTACATAAATGTACAGTAATGCGATGTTCAAATTAAATAGAGTGAGAAAGAGAAAAAAGGAAATGCAATTTATTTCCTGAAACATTTTTTTCCTTCTTTTCTCCTCTAATTTATGCAACTCAGAAAAAAGAATTTAATGTTTCACCATTGTTATGAACAGAGGAAAGAAATAAAGTGAAATGGAAAAAGTTTAAAGTAACATAATAAATGTTGTACAATGTTTAAGATTTTTCGCGTTGCAAAATTATCTTCAGAATATTTTCAGTATTTCACAAACATATTTCGTCCACAGCATCATTATTGTAGACGCATTATCTTTAATGGCTTCTTAATTGTTGATCCAAAAGAAAAATAAGATTAAAATGGCTTTTAACGTTGTTTAAAAATATTTTTTTTCCAAATCAATTTCGATTTCCCTTTTTACCACGTTTTTTTCTTAAAGCTTTAAGTTGATGAAGGAGAAGAAGATAAAAAGTTACTTTAAGGGTACTTGTGAGTTTGATCTGAAATTCAGGTACATAATTATGACGTAAATCTCTGAGGCCGTTAATAAAAAAACAAATAATATACGAAGCTCTGAATAAATAATTGGAAATTGTCTATGCTACCGGTACTTTGAATATTTGCTCAGATTTAACAGGTTGTTTTGCCTTTGAAGACTTCAAAGCTTCTCATTTGAGGAACTGTCAAAAAATTAAGTATCAATATTTTATGGTTTTTACCAAATTATCAGGGGCTGTGAAACAAATTCATGAAAATGTTAGCTTTGAGTTATTTTTTTTTCCTGAATGTTTTTACGAGTTTTTACTACATAGATGATCACAGAATTTTCACTTGAAATAAAAAGCCATATTTTTCACTGTTCATAAAACATACTAACGTTGTATGTGCCTTTTAGACAGAGGCTCTCCGTCGTCATAAATTTAGCTTTACGACACAGTTTCTTATATTTTAAAAGCCAAACTTACAGAGATCTAACGTTTTAGTGTCGACCTTTCTTCAGCCATGTGCCATCAGGGATAAGAAATTATTTAATTATATTCTGTGAATTTAAGCTAATTAGATGTTTCGAAGTTAATCATAAAAAGGGGATCAAGTTTGGTTTTGAACCAAATTCACATTAATTTCCAGATTGCTTCAAGGGTTTTGTTTTTCCATAACAAATGTCTATACTTATTAAGCTAGTGGTCGTTTTTGCTATTAGTAGAGTATTTAACATCAAGATAATTATGATACCCCATCGCTCTTCCGAGAAATGGAGACAAATTTCAAACAACTCTCTTATCATCATTTGTTATATTCACCTACACGAGTTTGCATGGTTGTAGGCTGTTTAGTTCACTGCACAATACTCAGAATAATATATCTAGAATTCAATAATGTTTTTTATCCTAGAATTAAACAAGCAAACCAACAGTCTCTTCTAAGTAGAATTGTATTCATTGATTTACGAGGATGCTTTTACTTGCTTTTAGACAAGTCATCAAACAAGGGCAAAAGTTAATGCGATAGATTTCTTTTTTGTCTTACACAGTATGCTGAATGTTGCTAAAATGATTTCAGAAAATTTGTCTTGACTAAACTTAAGTATATACAATTTACCATGAAATGATTTCGTGTTAACATTTGACAAAACTCAATTTCCGTTATGATTCAGATCAATGATGCTTTGAAATGCTCGAGTGTGATTTAAGTTCATTTGATCCCAATTTATTGTGAGAATAATGAAACCAGAGAGGAAGTATGTATCTAATCTCTTTTGAGATAGTCCATTTAAATGATATCAATATATAATACAACTATATCAATGTTAGCAGCTTTTTTATCGATTTCATGAGTATCCCTTTTCCGTTTCACTTTTACTTTGCCATTTTGTAATCTTTTTAATGCTTCTCAGACTAAATTTCTAGATCAAAACACTAAATCATATTGTGTTGCTGAAATATTGAGTTGTTTAATTTTTTACAGACTTCTTTTATATCCATTGAAATGGCCTTTTTTATATTATATTATATATGTTTTTCATTGTTGGCCATTGTGCTCCTTTCTTCTAGGTATCATTTAATGGGGCGCAAAGTAATTGATGATTTCTTGCTTTAAACGTGAGTAATGGACGAAGGGCTGATAACATCATGGATATCAATTATATAGGGTTCCCCCAAAAAAAAGAAAGCACCATACATACACATTATAATATATTTTCTTTGACGTTATCAATGATTTTTGAAAAATATGTTAAAAGGTATTTGGAAGATATAAAATTCAATGCTATATTTTTAGAAGTGAAAAAGTTTATTATTGATTTAGATCTCCTTTTATCCAATTCAATGGAGAATTAAATTTTGATTGACGTTGAAACATATTAAAGATGATTTGTAGAATATCTAACTTTTATTATGCATTATTTCTTTTATATTGAAATTCTCAGTGAAATGTCAAGTGAACA